TCTCTAATTACTTGTGAGTGCATGTTCTTCTCCCAGCAGCTGTTTGTACCTTCCTTGTAGTCCCTGCACAGAGAATGAGTAAAGAATGTGTGCTTAAGCAACAGTTCTGTGTTCACAGCTTTTAATCATTTCTTCTGCTAGCGGGCAGGGGTTATCATCTGCTTGCTAACTTTTGTTTTCACCTCGATTGTAAGGAGTTAAAACTTGCTCTAGCCCTACGTGTAGTTTCTTATCCATCAGATCATTTCAAAACAATAGTGAAAACTGTCAGGAAGAGGAAGAAATAGTGTGAAAGAAGGCAGGACGGGAGAAAAATGAAGGAAAACAGGAATGCCTGTCAGTGTGTTGCCTAGTTGTCAAAAGGATGCAGAAAAAATATGTTCTCATCCCTGACTACCTCAGCTGCAAGAAATCAGTTCCTCCCCAGTAATAGTAACCAATTTGAGCTGCAACATTTCGAGAAGGCTTGAGAGAGGGCCTTTTTTAGGTCACCTCCATTTCTGATGGTTTATTGCATTTAAGAAGGAGCAGAATTGCCTTTTAAGTTCACTTTATTACAGCAATTTTCCCCTTCCCCCACCCCCAAGCACAAGAGAGAAGCACCTCATTACTGTGGGCGCTGGGCCTCAGGGTCTGGGCAGTGCTGTGAGTTTGGGAATCATTGCTCAGTCTTTGTTCAGTGACTCGTGAAGCTCTTCTCTCTTCAGTTTCCTCTTTCATGTTGGATCATGTCTCTCTTGCTACCCAATGCATTGTGTTTTACTGTCTGATATTTTTCCTCTGCTAACAGACGTTGGACGATCTTTCCATCTTGTTTACTTTCTGTTCCCTTGTGCTTTTTTTACTTTCTATTTTTTTGCATGCTTTTTTTTTTTTTGTGCTGCAGGAAAGATTTATTGTGCATAGTTGGGTTGTGTTTTCTTCCACGGAAAAAAAAAGATTTTAGGGGTTGTGGAGGAAGGGAATTAATTGCAAGCATTTCAGTGCTTAATTTTTCAGCCAAATTAGGATTAGGAGCTGTTGAAGATGATGGCTTTTTCTTTCTCCATCCAACCCACACGCCAGACCTCAGGAGATCAACCCAGAATCGTGACGGCACGCTGGAATCTCCCCAGCAGAACTGGTGTTTGTTTCCCAGGCCTCGTTACCATCCAGTAATAGTAATTAAATGCATCTCAGCTGCTGTGCTGGTTTCGTAACAGCAGCACAGATGAGTGGCACGATGGGCTGCCGTGCTTCTAGGCGGGCTGGTGGCGAGTGTGCCCTCACAGAGAGCAGGCTGCTGTTTGGTTGCACGGTTTGCACACGGGCACAGAGCGAGCCGCGGTTGGATTGCACAGTTTGCACGAGCCGGCTGCTGTTGAATCGATCGGGCTGACGCTCGCACGGAACGCAGCGGCAGGACTACAACCCCCATGATGCTTTGCGGCGGGCGCCGCCCGAGCGGCCAATGGGACGCAGAGGGGCGGTGGCGACGCGCGCATGCGCGGAGGCGCCGGCCGGTGGTGGGGGGGGGAGGAGGCGGAGGGCGCGGAGCGGGGCCGGGACGCGGGCCCAGCGGCACGGAGCGCCGCCTTCCCCCGCCGCCAGCGGTCGCCCGCGCCCGCCCGCGCCCCGCCGAGCGCCTCCCCTTGGCCGCCGCGCCGGCCGGGAGCGGGCGGTGGGGGGGCGGGCGGCCTCCCGGGGCGGAGCCCGGCGCCAGCGGCGGGGGCGCGGAAATCGAGGCCGGGGCTCCGTCGGGCCTGCCGTGCGGGAGGAGGCGGGCGGGCCTCCGCCGCCCCCGCCGCCGGCCTTTGTCTCCGCTGGGCTCGGAGGACGCGGCGGGGGCAGTTAGAATGGAACAGATTGAAGGTGAGGGAGGCGGGGGCGGCCGAGCCGTTCGTCCGGGCTTTTAAAGGGTCCGCGGCCGCCATGTTTGCTGCTGCCGGCGCTGCGGCGCGGCCCCGGGGCGGGAGGGGACGGGAGGCGGTGGGCGGTGGACGCGGGGCCCGGCTGCACCGCGCGCTGCCGCCCCCGAGCGGCCCCGGGTTCGAGGCTGGGGTCGGGCCTTACCCGGAGATCCGGGCCCTGCGCTGCTCTCCGGCCCGGCCGTGCTTCCCGGGAGCTGTCAGGGCGGCTTGAAGGTCTTCGGTAGAGATCTCAGCGATAACTTCGTTCCTTGTGTGCCGAACCAGAGGCAGCGTGCGATCACAGCTGTAGGAAAAGGTTGTAGTCCGTCCTGGTGCCCGTTCCCGTCTTCCTGTGGCTGGTAGGGATGCATGGAGTGTTGTGGTGGTTTGATACGTTGATGTTTTTAAAGAGCTGCTCGAAAGGAGGTCGTTCCAGCAAGCAGGCGTGTGTGCTGTGTGAGCTCAGGGCTGGGAGTGCTGATCAGGAGTGCATCTTTTGGTTCGATACAACTGTTGTGCATTTCTCAGTTCTGCAGCTTTGCCTCACTTTGAAGCGGTACACATGAGATGCGTTACAGCTATTGTGTTGGCTTTGTTGTGTGACACGTCACTGTTGTTACAATATTTGGAACTGACAAGGGTCTGACTTTGTGAACAACAGCTTTTGAGCCTCCTCAAAGAACAAAAGAGTTTTCTCCATGTTCTCATTTCAACCCCGAGGCTCCCGAAACCAAATGAGTACACTAAACTCAGCTTTTTTATTTCAGTACATAGGATTTTTACTGCTGCCCTCTGAGTTGCTTCTTTCCATTTCCTCATGAGAAACTTGTTAAGAGCTGCTTTATCAAAACCATATGACAGAGATGACTGTTTCTTCTGGCACTTAGAGCCCTTAGAAAGGTACGCAGGGAAGTGATCAGCCTTACCACACGCTTTAAAACACTGAGACAAGTTTGTCAAGAGGCCTCTGATTCACCATTTAGTCTCTGCTGGCACAGGCCCACTGAAGGCAGGAGGAATCCCCAGGCTGCAGTTCTCTTTGCTAATGAATCTGCATGCAGCTGAAAGCTGGGCCTTGTCCTGATGGATGGAAGTAAAAGTTTACACCTGTGGTTTTTAGGGTGTTCAGAACAAAGTGGGACAAAGCAGACTACAGATAAAGGATGCAGAAATGTGAATAGTCATTTTACTTCTGCCTGTAATTCGTATCGTTTGAACGCTGCAGGAGAGTATTTTGAAAGGAGGTGTGGAAATGTGACAGAATTCATCTTTCATCGCTTAAACCCAATGACCTGGTCTGTTTCAGCCCAGCAGCTGTGTTTGTAAACATAGCAGTGAGCATGTGCTGGGGTGGCTGCTGCATGGAGCTTTGAGAGGAGCAGTGCCAGCACAGCGCAGATGCAGGCACGCACTGGAATGGAACAGTGCAGAAAATGAGAGTGAATGCGTGTGGTGACTCAGGTAATTAAGGGGCTGTAGGACACGAGCAGATCTGAGAATCTCTCTGATTATATCTGTGTAGAGAGGAGCTGGATTGTTGCAGGCTTGGTTGTGCAGACAGCCTGAAACTTCTGCTTTCAAGGCTGTGACAGAAAGCCCAGCTCAGGCTGACGAGGCAGTGGCACGTAGGGCTGACTCAAAGTGCTGCTTGTGGTTGTCAATGAGCCAGCAGGACAGCTTCTGTTCTCAGAGCAGACACTCCACATCTCTGTGTAGTGCCCAGTCTTTAATGCCTCAAATTCAACCACCCCTGAACCAGTTGTAGGCAGGGTTATCCACACGGTGCTTGTCAGCAAAGAGTGGTAACCTTAATTCAGAAAGGATTTAAGGAAACTGTTGAAAGTATTTGCATGCCATGCTGTTTTTCTTATCAGTGCATGCAGCTCCCACTTATTGCTGTAGTGACAGCCAGCCTTGGGTCAGCAGGCCTCTTCTGCTCCAAGCAGGGCTCATTAGCAGGTGCCTGCTGCCTCTCCTTGGTTTGGTGGCACAGGGAAATGTCCTTGTGTCCAACTTGTGGCTCACTGTGGTTGGCTGAGACCCCTTCATTTGGAGGTAGTCCTCCTTAGGGCTGCTTTGGTTGCTGATAGGTAGCAGTGGGACTTTCTGATGCTTGGAGAGTTTCATTTGTGTGCTGCATACTGACCGTATCTTTTCTCACTTGTTTTCGAGCTCTTTCTGATTGAGCAATAATACAGTGGGTAGATGCATGTCTGTGTGTTTTGTAGATAAGTCCACAAGTTGCTGTGTTTTATACAGACCTGCAGAACTCTTTTTGGAAGGTTGAAAAACTTCCTTGAGTAATAAATAAATGTGATCAGCAGCATTCAGAACGGTTTAGTAATGTGAGATGGCAGCTATTCTCCAGCATAGTAGCAGCATCCGAGAACTTTGTAGTACCTCGTTTTCTGAGGAAATGCAAAATGTTCATCACAGAAACAGCTTTAGCTTGCTGTGCTTGTTGGTGGAACACTGAGCTCAGAGGGACTCCCAGTGTCAGCCCATGACTGCAGAGCTGCTGCTGGAATGTGTGCAGCGGAGCTTTCTGAGCAGCTCTCAGTGGATGGGCAGTGAAACACACAGTGCTGGTATAAGGAAGTGTATTGTAGGAGCTGTGCAGGGCTGACCCACTTCACCTTGCAGTGAGACCTTTATTTTGTTTACTTTTTTCCTCAGATTCTTTGCATTCTGACTCTCCTGCAGGCAACATGAAAGCACTTACATGAGCAGTGCCTGTGTGTAGTCTGCATTTGTGAACAGTCTGCAGTTCCCTTATCAGTGACAGGTCCTGTTTTCCCTCTTGCTGGGAAAGGACACATGGGAGGAGCTGGTAGTGTGGTTCTGGGGAGCAAACTCTTGTTGTCTCATTGGTAAATTAAGTTGCAGTGTTGAAGGTATCTTTGTTTCCAAATTCTTTTCCAGGACTACTAAAAAGTATCCACATCATATTTGAATTGCTTGAAATAATTATGTTGTTTTCTTATCTTTTGGCCCATTTCCAGTGTTGTATCAGAGCGATATCTATTGCAGGTTGTACTTAGAAGCTAAGTGGGGCATCTGATAATTTAATAGTTGTGCCAGTGAGAAAAACATACGCTGCCTGAAATGCTTTGCTGTGAGCTCAACGCATAGAACTGCAGATTGGCTTCTCTTGTGTTTTTAGGCAGTGCTCTGTTGAGAAAGGCTGGGTTTGGCTCTCCTGAGCACGTTGGTGGTATTCATAACAGTGGTATGTTCTTTGCATTGCAGCCTTTGAGTGACTTCTACTTAGTAATCCTTTCTGAGGGTTAAATTCTGATTCTGACGTGTTTCGGTTTCGTTGTGTTGTTATCAGTGGCTGCAGGTTTGCTCTGACAGTCAGCGCTTCAGTGGGCAGCTCACAAATGAGCAGGCTGATAGAGAGATGTGGAAAGGAAGAAGGATGGGAAAAGCTGGGTGTGTTATGATGATGACAGAACAGGACCGGGGAGGAGGAAGGTCTTGGTGTTGTAAGTTTTGCAGGAGGAGAAGAACAGTTTGGGCTTTAAGGCTTGAGAGGAGCAGCTGTCTTAGCTTCTGCAGCCTGCACAGAATGAAGCAGGTGTAGAAATTGTCCCCATTGAGAAACATGGACTGGAATCAAAGTCTGTTTTTATGCAGGTGAGCTCCAGAAAAGCAGTACTTAAAGAAAAAAAAGAGTTTATATGTATATATTTACTGACTCCTCCTAAATCCAATTGAAGTGGTGTTTTGAAGTTTGCTAAACCACAAGTTTTTTTTTATGTAACAAGATAAAGTGCACTGATAGCCTCCCCTGCACACACCCCGTCCAATTTGTGCCTGTGGAGGCTGGTCACAGCTTTGGGACCTGTTCCAGCCTTAAATGTCCTGTGAAGGATGATACAGGGGGCTCCTCCCTGCACCATGGGCAGACTTTGACCTGGAGGGCTCTGTGTGCAGGAGATAAGGGCCAGGCACTGTCCTGCAGGTTTTGAATTCTGTTCGTGTTGCATCTGGGTCTCGTTCCCACCACTCAGGTGAGATGGCTTTAACAAAACGTTAGCAGGGAGCTTCTGCTTCTCAATGCAAACTGCAGTTGTGCTGCTGTACCTTATGTCAGCCCTTCTGAGCAAAGCAAGCTGTCCTGGCAGCAGCATTCCTTGGCTGTGTGTGGGTAAGGGCTCCTGCTGGCTGTGTTGATCAGGTATTGCATCACTGCCTAGTTCTGGTGTGGTCGTGGCTGAAATGCTGCACAGCATGGCTTGGTTTATAGCCCATCGTTTAAAGTGTGGAAGATCTTACAAGAAAAGGCAGAGTTGCCAGTGTAATGAGAACAGTCTTCTTATTTAACAGATAAGGAGTAGGGCAGTGTTGCTGATTTGAAGACAAAAAGGCTGGTGAGGTTTTCTGGTTCTGATGATGTTGGCCAGGTGAGTATTAGTTGTGCAGGGAGATCCTTCTTTGTTTTTCCCTCTTTATTCCATGGCATATTTGCTGCTTAGTGGAGCTGTGCTGTGTGCTGAGACGAGCAGCATTCTTTGGCATCAGACATTGTAAGGACAAAGGACTTGCACCAGGGAAAGTGTCCTCTAAAGGCAGTGGGATACTTTCTCAAGGAAGAAATGCAGAGTGTTACTGCTAGTTTATAATTTCTATTATCCAGCAGAACCCAGAACATCTCAAGTTTTCATTCTTAGTCTGACTTAGGAGCAGCAAAAGATAAAGCATAATTATGCTGACATAAACCACGGTGTGTTTTTGGTGAAGCACAGCATACTGAATGGTGTCCTGTTTGATATTCTGGTCCTCAGTTCTAAACTCGATGGGTGATTGTACTTCTGGAGTGTTTGGATAGCAGACAGTGAATTAGATTTTCTTTAAAATGAAAACAAAACTTGAAAATGAATTGATTCTAAACTTTCTTAAACCGTTTCTGCTTTGTCTCTGTTTATCCAGCAGTGGATGTGCCTGATGACTGAAGCACAGTCGCAGGTTTGTAAGATGAGTTGTTGGGTTTTTGACGTATTTAAAAAGAAAGAAATTGATTCTGATTTTAGTAACGAAAAAAGCCTAGGGTGAAATTTCTTCCTAGTGGGAGAAATCTGTTGTTTGCTTTTCGGTTTGGCAGATGTAAAGGAGCAATTAATTTGTAGATAGTACAAACAGTTCCACTTCCTCTTCCTAGAATGGGTGGTGGTGGTTTGAGGCTGGCTGACCCTGATAGGCAGTGCTTCTCACCACGTGTGTCCCTCCCATCAGCAGCAGCACTTCTTGTTGGCTTTTGTGGCTGATATGCAGGGAGCAGCTGGGGAAAAAGATGGTTATACTGCCTCGATTTAAAAGTTGCTGCAATTAGCAAATTTTGCTGTATGGCATTGTGCTATTGGGTTGTTTCTCTAAATCACTTAACTTTGGGGACAAGTGTGCCTGTGGTTGATAGCACTGTGGGCAGCAAGGATGAACACAGACGTGAGTATCATTCAAGGACAAAGCTGACAAAATAACAAAATTCTGATCAAGTCCTTTTGCTGTTGCAACATCAGGGTATTGAAATGCATTGTGAAGGTAAGAATTTAATGTGGGGGTTAGGGGAGTATATGCAGATTGTAATGATGAGAAGTGGGTTGTGTTAGTGTCACTTCAAACCCTGACCAGAAGGGCATAGTAACCCTCCTTTGTGCCTGTACAGGGGTAGGATAAATAACACAGAGCTGTATTTACTTTGGAAGGGCTAAACTGACCTTGCAAATCTGTATTTCTTAGCTGTAGTTCGGGTCACTGTTCCTTTTTCCTTCTTGAACACAAATTATTAAAACAAAACTACTTTGAGCCAGTAGCTGAGCTTTCAGAATCAAACCTTTTTAGTGTTAGAACCCCACATGTTTGTTGTTAGGAAAATAACCCTCCCCAAGCAAGCTCTTCTCTGCCCTTCTGTTGAGAGGAGGGGTGGGGAGGGCCGTCCTGAGGCTGTCACATCATCTGAAGTGGTTCTCCCAGTGGCTCCCAGCATAGAGAGAATTTGTGGCTCTGGTCCCCAGTTGCCTGACAGGCTGCTTGTGGCCCCACGTTGCTGCTGTTGTTTCTCTGTTGACTGGGGGATCCTTGTGGATGAAAGCACATCAGAGCAATGCTTCCTGGTGCCACGTTAGGGAGGCTGAAGGGATGCTCTGAATTTTAGCACTGTTTTTCTGACTTTGGAACTGTTGGGCTCATAATCTTCTTGGAGTTTGTAGGTGCTTATCTTGATTCCTGAAATATATTGGGGGGGAAAAAAGGAAGTGGATGTCTCAAATAAAAAGGTTCTGCAGCAATGTGTAAATAGGTTTTAATTTTTTTTTTCACATTCTGTAATACCAGTCTTCTTTAAATGCATGAGCGGAGAGGGGGGAATCGGTCATTAGATTTGCTTTCTCTCAACATTTTAATTTTCTCAGTTATCTTTTTTTTTCTTTTTTTACACTGACTGAACTCCTTTTTCCCCTGACTCTAGGCCCTATGAGAAAAAGGGAAAGCTAAGGATGCTGGAGCAGAACAATGGATTTCTCTTTCTCTTTCATGCAAGGGATCATGGGAAACACAATTCAGCAACCACCTCAGCTCATTGACTCAGCCAACATCCGCCAGGAGGATGCCTTTGATGCCAGCAGTGACATTGCTGAAGATGGTGGACAGACACCATATGAAGCTGCCCTACAGCAAGGCTTTCAATACCCAACACCCACGGCAGAGGATCTGCCCCCCATTGCTAATGGCTACCCAGCCACCATCAATATGTACGAACCTCAAGCCAAATTCCAGACGTACAGTCAATATCCCAATGGTTCTGCCAATGGTTTTGGTACAGTTAGGAACTTTAGTCCCCCAGAATATTACCACATGGAAAACTCGAATGCGAGGCCGCATGAAGTTCTGGAAAAGCCTTCCCCTCCACAGCCACCCCAACCATCACCTTCAGTTTCCCAGACGGTGATTCCAAAGAAGACTGGCTCACCAGAAATCAAACTAAAAATAACCAAAACTATCCAGAACGGCAGGGAATTGTTTGAGTCCTCTCTTTGTGGGGACCTTTTAAATGAAGTACAAGCGAGTGAGTATGCTAAGGCAAAACATGAAGGGAGAAAAGAGAAAAGGAAAAAAAGTAGCAAGCATGACTCTTCCCGATCGGAAGAGCGCAAGTCGCACAAAATTCCAAAATTAGAACCAGAGGAACAAAATGTAAGTGTGATAATAGCTTCAACCATCTGTATGCCTGGTATTGTTGGTGGAGTATGCTTCTTCAGCAGTGTTTTTTCCTCTCTTCTGGGTATATATGTAGTTAGACATAAGTTTGATGATTTTCTTGTTGTATTTTTAACGTGATGTTGGTAATGCAGTCTTTGGAAATAACCAACATGCAGTGGGACTTGTCACGTTAGTGTGGATATCCTTCATCAATCCTTCCCTGCTTCTCTGAGGCTGCACACTGGTTAAGGTGGAAGGTTATTTGGGTTTACTATCTGAATGTTTTTCTATTGCTTGTTACAGCAGAACCTTGTTCTTTGTAGGGGTGGGGAGGATATTTTCTGTGGTGCTACTTTGAAGTTGGAATAAGGAATTATCATACTTGTTCTTTTGGGCTTGTGGTTGCTTTTCTCCTTGCTATGTATTTTTTTTCTGTTTGTTTTCATTAATGTGCTTGTTTTGGTTTTACTGTCCCCTTATGCTGTTTGGGTTTATTTTCCTTTTTTCCTTTTCATTGTTCCCATTTCCCAGAGACCAAATGAGAGGCTTAGCATGCTGTCTGAAAGGCCAAGAGAAGATGCAGTGTTGGAGGAAGCCCCGGTTAGTACATGTACTCATTAACACTTTCTGGTTTGTCACTGTTTTTCTACCAATTATGCCATGGGTTCTTTAGTTTGTCAGATAAATGAGCTGCCATTTCCTTGAAATACTTCTTAGTCACTGTTGTGTCAGAATGTCTCTTTTGCCATATTTATTGTCTTATTTTCTCCTAAAAGCAACATTCTTAATCAACTTACAGAGGAGACATTTATTTTTGATTTTTGTTGTGGGGTTTTTTTTTTGGTTTAGGATCGCTGGTGGTTTTTTTCACTGTTGTGTGTCTTGTTTTATCAGTGACTGTGTAAATCCAAGCTGTTAAGTTTGTCTTGTTCTCTCTAGGTGCAGCAGTTCTTGCCTTCTCTTCCAACACAAGTCAGCCATGACATCAAGTTTCAGGTTGGCGATCTGGTTTGGTCCAAGGTGGGAACATACCCATGGTGGCCTTGCATGGTTTCATGTGATCCACAGCTTGATGTTCATACCAAAATCAATACGAGAGGTAAGGGAGGAAGGTTACTGCCAGAATCAGGTGTCTCTGGTTGTTTCTGCATTAAAAAAAATCTCATCTTTCAATTTCCTTTGTGGGATTGAGTCTGCTGGTGTGTGTGCTAAACAGGACTATTACTGTAATGCATAAAAGTAGTGCTTTTAAAATTACCTCTGCAAATGAGCCTATGCAAACTAGGTGTGAGCACTTTTCTGAAGTCAGCATGTTTATGAGAAGACATCTGGTAAGTCTGAGAACATCCATTGTGGGCAGGGTGCATTTATCTTCCCATCCTGAACAACTCTGAGTCTAGGCCTGTCTTATTTCTGAACTTTCTAAACTAACCTTGGTATTTCCAACTGCAGCGGTTGAACGGTGTGGAGGAGGAAAGTGTAAACTAAACCAGAAGAGGCATTCATAAAACTGCTTACTAGAATTTTTCAATTTCAGGTGCCCGTGAATACCATGTTCAGTTTTTTAGCAACCAGCCAGAACGGGCGTGGGTGCACGAGAAGCGAGTTCGGGAGTACAAAGGACACAAACAATATGAGCAGTTATTGGCAGAGGCTGCTAAGCAAGCCAGCAACCATTCTGAGAAACAGAAGGTATGATGAACACCAATTGTGGAGAAGGGGTATCTGCAGTGCCTGTGAAAGTGAAACTCGTGGGGGCAGTTCTGAAACAGTGGTGCTTTGTTGTGTAAAGGGTTGTCTGCATTTCTCTGGCAGAAATGTTACTCGTGGAGGTAACTAAAATGTTACCATGCTCCTTCTTTTCCACTGAGGAGCTTGATAGCTTAACTTTGTTCCTTGTGACAGGTGTCATCCTGGGTGAGGAAATGACTTTACATCTTTGTCAGAATATTAAACAAAAGTAGTATCTGTGTGTTCAGTTTTAACCGCTTTTCTGTGTAGACAGAGAACTTAAGTCAGTGTTTATGCTAATCAAAATACTTTTGTGGAAGGAGAAGGATTTGTATGGAAAAATATGGAGGATTTAAAATGTAGATAAATTAGATTTCATCTTATAACAGAGTCGTGGACTTTGAATGCTGTCTGCTCTTGTCTTTCCTGAGTTTATAGTTCAGGACAGACACTTTCAGTGGTGATGGTCATTCAATCCAACCACTGTCTGCTCATATTCCGAGCACGGGGTTCGCTGTCTACTTTTCAAACTTACCCTGTAAATGGAAAGCAAACTTATATCTGTTGCCTTAGAGATGTAAGGACCCTCAGGATGCTTCAGTGTAATCAGCTGCTTGTCTTTGTTCCTTAAGATTCGCAAACCAAGGCCACAAAGAGAGCGTGCTCAGTGGGATATTGGTATTGCCCACGCTGAGAAAGCATTGAAAATGACTCGGGAAGAAAGGATAGAACAATACACCTTCATTTATATAGACAAAGAACCAGAGGAGGTTTTGTCAAAAGCCAAAAAGACGGCTGCTTCTAAATCAGAGACCAAGAAGAACCGGCGTCCGAAGCCAGCATTGAACACCCAGCCAGAGCATGGCAATGTGATAACAGGATCACCTTCCAGTGCAGAGCTGCGAAGGCAGAGCCAACGGAGGCAGTCGAGTGCGGAAGAGGAGGAGCCACCACCTGTGAAAATTGCATGGAAAACAGCTGCAGCTAGAAAATCCTTACCAGCTTCGATAACCATGCACAACTTGGATCTTCAAAAATGTAACATGTCTCCGGTTGTTAAAATTGAACAGGTTTTTGCTCTTCAAAATGCTGCTGGGGATGGAAAGCTCATCGATCAGTTTGTTTATTCCACTAAGGTATGTACTTTGTGTAGTGACTCCTTTTTTCCTAAGTTATTCCAAGTTTATCTTATTGTGGAGCTTAAACCAGCATCCGCCATACTTTCACAGTGTGCGTTTCTTTGGTTGGAGAGATTAAATCTAACGTAAGACAGGATGCTCCAACAAACTTCTGTTGTATTCAACTTTTAATTTCAGTGCAGCCCAAAGCCTCTGGCAGTGATTGTATTGACTGCTGGCCAAGAAGCTCCCTGCAGATGGTCACATACTTGCTGATGAGATGTTCAAAATACTGAAGCTGTTTAATTCTAGTTGAAATAACAGAGCAATTCTCTGAAAATCTAAAAAATCAGTTTATTTGGGGAAAACAGATAAAATTACAAAAGTGTTAATAAAGTATTGAAAACTAATTATTACATTTTGCATAACAGACTTCTAAAATGAGTTCTGCCTCCTAGCTTCCTTCAGGTGCACAGCAGCTTCTCGCAGTCAGTGTAAGGAAAAGGTTTAGGACTATTTCTCTGCCTCCTCCTTCTGCCTCTCTACCTGGAGAGTATTTATTTCATCCTAAGCATTATAGAGAAGGTAATGTTTAGAAAAGTCGCTGGATTTTTTTTTTTTTGTTATATATAAGGGGAGATGGAGAGGGATGGAAAGTTTTGCAAAGAAGCAGTTCAGTAGTATAGATCACTTATATGTGTTGCATTGAAGGTTTCTGTTCTGACTGAAGATAGATTAATATGCCTGGAAGCCATAATACATTTAAGTAGGCTGACAAAATCTTTTTGTATTGTGTTGTTGGTTTGTTTTTTTTCCTAAGGGAGTTGGTAACAAAGCAGAAATAAGTGTCAAAGGACAAGAGAAGCTTAATTCTGCATCCAATCAGAGAAATGAAAAAGCAACGTGCAATGTGCAAAACGCATCCTCTCCTGAAACAACTTCTGGATCAGCAGGTAGGCAAAGTGCAGGGGCTTTGAATTTTAACAGGGGCATTTAAATTCACATGTGAAAACTGGCATTTTCTTGTTGGATAAGAATGATTTTAAACATCTTTCCATTTACATTATAGCTCTACCAAACATGGCTGGTACAGCACAGGATGAGCCCAGATGTTTGAGGAGCATAGGATGTCTTTCTGGTGCACTTTAGCTGGTTAAGCCTCTGAACTTTCAGCACTTGGAGCTTGCAGTATCCAAGTCAAATTATTAGAAGGCTAGGTGCCTTGTGGGGAGCAGATGGCAAGTTGTTTTAGAAGACAGGACAGCATAGTAGGCATGTGTTAGAGTATTGTAATGGCTTTTGGCACTGCGTGTAAAATATGACAGTGGAGATCAAAAGAAGAGAATCTGGAGGTGACATAGTTTAGTAAGGAATGGTTTTGAAATGTGGCAGGTGCTTTACCAAACTTTGTTGATGAATTTCAATATGACTTTTGTAGAGGACAGTGTTTTTTTTTCCCTGCTTCAGCTCACTCCATCAGCAGAATGATGCAATGCTTGGTTCTGAAGGTGTTTTAGGAGCCCCATCATAAAACAGTGATATTTAAGTACTGTCTGAGGAAAACCACTGAAGCAAATAATGGAACTTGAGACTGAAAAGGGAAAGCCTGGAACAAGCTATTTGAAGCCTGATTTGTGGTACAGTAGTAGAGAAGAATGAGAGGAAGAACGGATTGAGTGCTTCCTAGATTTGGAACAGAAAGCCAGTGTGTGGTTTTCTTTTTTGTTTTGATTCTGAGGAACAGCTAATGGGAGTTTGTCCAAACGGTTTTATCTTCTCCCCATCAGCAGGAATTTCATTCAGCAGTGTGTTCTCTCAGCATCATCAAAAGGAGACACGTATCCCTGTGGGGAGCAAATGGAAGTTCCTGAAAAGATGTAGTTCAGATCTTTCTAAACCAAGAGATTTTCAGGTTCCTCCAGTCCCTATATTGTCTTCTGTTTTTCATCTGTTTTGTACAGTCCATTAGCTATTGCTTGTTTGCTAGTGTGCTGGTAGTAATAGCCTTGGTATAGCCTCAAATGGTTTTATGTTAGATGTGTAGAAGTAAATTTTAGGTTGCAGAAGAGCACGTTGAGTTGCTGTCATAGCAGGATGAGCAAATGCTCATGATACGGACCAAAAAAACACCCTAAAAAAGTAATGGACTCATTACAGTTAAAACACACAAAAAGGAACCCAACCACAAAACCTGCTGGGAAAATCTTGTGAAGTTACTTGGTGTCACTTCTGCTTTATCTGTTTGTATCTTCTCCTTTTCTGGACGTAAATGAGACTCCAGGTCAGACACCTCAGTGCTCAGCATAGGTGGGAACATTTTCCTCTGCATACTTAGTGCAGTTTCTGTACTTCCTTAGCTTTTAGGTAAGCTTATTTAATATATGCTATGTTCTGGGCTGTGTAGGGCTTCACAGTACAGGCTGAGCAGACCAGATGTTCTGGTGTGAGTGGGGTTTCCCAGTGCAAGTGGGGTTTCTTCTGCTGGTCTAATCAGTGGTTCTTTTTTCCAATTTTAGTTGCTGTAGTTGCTTCAGCTTTTTTGAACCAGTTGTTACTTTGATTGCCTTATAGCTGGAGAGGGTATCTCTGTTTTGTTTTCCTTACTTGGAACTAAAAGCTTCACCTTCACAATGGTTCTTCAGGTGTAGGGGTTGGTAAGAATTCTGAGCCTCTCTTTTTTTCGCTTCCATAGGTTTTTTGGAGATGTAAAACTTCACCTGGTAACACCTGTTACAGTGCATGGGCTTTCCTTCAGTACACACTGAAGTATACAGTCACTTTCAAGGTTGTTTACAGAGTCCAGGCAGTTGTTGGTCCCCTCTCATGGAACATAACTACAAAGTCCTTTTTTCAAATTTAAGGTCACTGGAATTTCAGGATGTCTTTATATTAAATATTTCACAGAATGACTCTGGGAATCCTTAATAATAACCTGCAGTTAGATATACAGAATTCTGTAGTGCTGGGAGAATAGTTGTGTAACCTGAAAGCTGATAATAAGAGAACAACTATGAGAATTCATAACGCCTCTGGTTTCTGGAACAAGATTGACCTGACCTTGTCAGGGTGAGGTAGAGTGCTGGTCTGAAACCTCTCCTGAAACTTTGGGTCAAAATACACATGCAGGTGGGATAGGAGCATTGCAGAGGTGATGTGCTGCATCTTTGCAGAGCAGGGACAGGAAAAAAGTACCTGTTACTTTGATAGTAAGTTTAATATTGGCTGAAGGCAATAACTTGAGAGTTTCTTCTCTGATACAGGGCTTGCATCTTAATTCTATTTTCACAGTGAGGCAGCACAGGGAGGAAAGGCATGATGGATTAAATCAACTTTCTGGTCACAGTTGCCCAAACTGATTTTTAGCTGCTTCAAAGAATCTCACCTGAACACAGAGGTGACAAAAGATGACCTCTGGCTTCAGTGTTGAGATCCAGAATCGTTCTGTGGGTATCAGTGGATGTCTCTCATTACAGCCAGAAGTTACCCTGCTGCTTCTGTGGGTAAAACACCCAAACTGGAAACCAAGAATAATGCTCTGTAAAAGCTGTGAAATGTCAAACTTCAGCTCTCTGTTAAACATCTCCAAGTGTCCAAAAAAACCCACAACTGTACATGGTATCAGATGGTGTGTTTCACAATATGACCTTTTTGGAGATACTGTAGCATAGAGGGATCTTCTGAATTCACCTACCTTAGTTGTTTAAAAAAAAAAAACAAGTAATTTATGCTTTCTCTTGATATATCATTATCACTGCCATTAATCTGAGTTTCTTTTCTATAGTAATAGTTCTAAAAAGCTAGGTTGTTGCTTTCATTAATTGCAGTAATGCATCGTGATGGCTGCTTCTGTGCTTTCTGTTGAGCATTTAGATTTTGTAGTGATAGCACACGTAGTAGAGAAGTTCTTGCTTTACTGTTCTGTGGTGGGCAGAGTCCTGGGTGAAGGCTCACACCCCTGTAGGGCACACAGCTGTCTGTGGGAATGAAAACTTGGAACCTGATTTTTGCGTCTTCGATTTCTGGCTTGTTTTAGTTGAAGAAATTGATTGTGGATTCCTTCCATAAATACCAAATATGGACAATTTGGTTAAAAATTAACCAGAGCGAAGACTGAGAGGTGTGTTTTGAAAACTCATTTGCCCGACCTGGATGCCAGCTTGTCATTTTGTACTTTTACCAATGCCTCTTTCTGTCCATGGAATCAGAACATGCTATCTGCAAACCACAGCACCAGTTGGCAAATAGCTTGGAACTGAATTTAAAAATAAAACATTCAAAAGAGGACAAAGTCTTGGCTTCGTTAATTCAGCTGTTGATATGGTGCTGAAGGTGTTGCTGTAGCATAGAAGTACAAGGAATAGTATAATAGAAACCTTTTTCCTTCTTCAGGTTCTGTAGAAAAGAAGCAACAGAGAAGATCGATTCGAACCCGCTCAGAGTCTGAGAAATCCACTGAAGTTGTGCCAAAGAAGAAGATCAAAAAGGAGCAGGTTGGCTTCCTCCATGTAGAGAGTTAAAATATATTGTATTCATAAATGTTGTGGCTTATATTGGTGCCTTTTTATTTTTCTCCATTTTTTTCCCCATCGGGTTTCGTTTTGGACTATCCTTCATGAAATCCCCTTGTCAATACCATTGCTGTGACTCTGCTACTGGCATCTTCACAGTATCAGTCAGGCTATGGAAAATGGGAACTCAATGATGCAAGACTCCTAACGAACCTGCCATGTTTTCTTTGAGATTTCTGTTATGAGCAAAATGATTTTGTTTCAGTAACTTCTCTTTGATGGAATTACCACCAGGTTCCTTCCTTTTGCTCTTGATTTAGCTGCTGGTTTGTATTGAGGTTTTGTTTTTCAGATGAAGTTAGACTGATTAATCTGACCACTTTTGAAAATGGACTCTGGGAATGATTTAATAGTCAGACTTCTATGTTGGCAGACGTCAGCAAAACAGCTCTTCTGGGATATACTTTTTTTCCCCCCTTAACTAGATCTAACATGTACAGGGCATTCCTTTAATCTGGATGTCAGACAGACAAATGTTGTTGCTTTAAAACAAACAAACAAAATTCTGCGTGAAAATGAATAGGAAAGTTCAGTGAATGGACATAATTTAATGTTTAAAAACTGAATACTTCTTAACGAGTTTGTCAAAGTTGTTGGTTCTTTTCCTTACGTGGTCAATTTTCACCTTTCCTCTTGAAGCCAGAGAATTTTATGTGAAATGTTTCATAGGATAGTTTTTTTCCAATGAGGATTTCTTAAAAGGGGTGATTGGGCTACAGATTTTATATGGGAAGGGGAACATTTGGGGTTTTTAGCTCTTTTTATTCTAATTTATTCTTTGCCCTTTACACATTGTTTTGCACTTCATTCATTCAGAGGTTGAAGGTAGACCAGACCCAGTTGCTTTTTTTTTTCCATGTTTTTCTTTTGATGCCACAGCATTTACATCTGTGCTCAGCAGAAGAGTGTTCTAACTCTGGAAAACTGCAGAAAGAAACTTGAAAGCAACAAATGTTGGGTGTGAAGCACCCAATGTTCCTTTCAGCCTCTTGTCTGGGGGTGTTGCAGCCTCCGTGTTTTCAAATGTTATTTCATGTTTATAAGTGTTTCTTAATTTAACAAAGGTTTAAGAACCAACAATATGAATTTCATGGATCCCAGTTAGCTTTGCTTGTTTATATTACCTAGCTAACTAAGACTATGAACATTAAAGTGCTTTTCTCAGGAAAAGTGTATGACTAAAAAATTAAACACAGATGCACTGTAATGCGCGTAACCTTGAATGTATTAAGTTATATTAAAAAAAAAAAAATTACTTCTTACAATTATGCAACAATATTTGTTACCCAAAGTCAAGTTTTCTTGCAACTGATTCCCAAATTAGTCTGCAACAACTTGGTATGAGGTTATAACTGGAACGAGTACAATTAATGGGAAAAACAAAATGTTAATGCTACTGTTACAGTGACTAGTGGAGAAATAAAAGTGATTGTTTAGATTTTATATTTGTATTATGAAATGTATCCTATACAAATCCTTCTATTGTATGTTTTTACCTATTGTACAACAAAATAAAATATTTTTTAAAAAAATTATAGAATAATCCTTAAATATTTACTAAATGTGTTTCTACATGCATATGTAACCACATTGTAAAGAAGTAACTTGTAACCCTTAACCTTAAAACCAGGATTTAAGGCAACGACTTTCCTCTCTAATTATTATCCCTTCACCAAATTCTCATGTTCCATGTACATTGGCAGAGCAGATTCTAAACGTGCCCTACTGATAGAGGATCAAGAGCCTGAAGCACTTTTGCAAGACTGTAAACTTGTCTGCTTAGGTGTGTACTGACATTGAGTTTCCAGCTGTATAGAGCTCTGCAATGCTCTGTGCCAAGTCCATACCCCCATCCCTATGGCCTTGCAGCACTCTATACAGGGAAGGTCTGTGTTCCCAGGAGCCTGGAGTGCATGCTTGATGGATGTGCCTTAAATGGCGATACGTTAAGTGTCTCACTAACCTGAGTGTCATGCCTGTTAAGGTAAACTTGTGCTTACACAGGTGTGGGGTTGTACAAAGCAATCAGGGTTGGCTGCCACACTGAACCCTGCTCCTGCCTGCTGGACACGGCTGAAGTTTTCTGTCGTCTTCATGCAGAAAGGGAGTAACTGGAAAGGACCTTGCTAGCAAACACATGGCTGCCTTGTCTCCTGCTACTCAGCGTAGGCAGCTAGGATTAAATCCAACAGGACAAGAAGGCTTGCACTGAGGAGGGGATGGCAGACTGCACATGAGTTCAGAGATGCTAATCGCTTAAACTTTGATGTTTTCTTTTTAATACTAGGGGAAAAAATTCCTTTGTTTTTAACTGTGGATTTTCCTATTCAAACAGGTTGAAATGGTTCCACTGGCAGCAGTGAAGACAGGCCTGCAGAAAGGTGAGTCACGCACTTAAACTTCACTGAAAATTCCTGGCTCTTCATCACACTTTGGCAGTGCTTTTCATCTTGTGTGGGCTACAGAGGTCTTGAAGTTTTCTAGAGAAGAACATGGCTTGGTTTGGCTTTGCATTGCTAGTTGGAAGGGTAGTTATGTTGTTCATGTGCTGTAAGCATTTAGTATGATTATGAGATGATGCTTTTGCTTAGCCCTACTTTAAAGATGAATGATGAAGAGATAATCTCCTAAGGGCTTATCCTCTGTTACACACAACTTAGTAGCTTCCTCTGCTATGTCAACATATTCAGAAGATTGTCACAAGGACTTCCTGAAGTGATGTCCAGTTAATTAGGTCTTTACAGAGGATTAAACTAGTATCAAAGTTGCAAGCTGAGGATTAAAAATAGCAAATAGAGTTCATTTTCAGGTTGTCTCATTTTCATTTTCCTTTACTGATTTTAAGGAAAAAAGAAAATGAAGAAACATACATTAAGACTAATTTTAGCATGTTGTGTTAAGGTGCCAGCGAGATTTCAGATTCTTGTAAACCTTTAAAGAAGAGGAGTCGAGCCTCAACTGATGTAGAACTGACGAGCTCAGCTTACAGAGATGCTTCTGACTCTGATTCAAGAGGACTCAATGATTTACAGGTAAAAGCATATTGTTTCTCACAGACACGTGTCTAATCAATATCTTAGTCACTTCAGTTGCCTGCTGCTAAATATGAGTACTGTATTTCCTTCAAGTTCTGCCTTTTATTGTCTTAAAAAGTAAAGTACAAGCTTTTTAAAATCACCTTTTATTTCTAACCCTGCACATTACATCATCTGGCAGAACAAATTGGTCACTGACTCATTTTGCTCTTTGAAAGTTGTTGGATTCCTTGGGAGTTGTGGGATGACAGTATGAAACAAAGAGGTTTCTGGAAAGAGTGAAATATCTTTTACCTGGACAAGCAAAAAAATTTACGTCAGAAAGGCAGCGTTTCTTCTGTCATTGTCATCCAACAACTTTTCAAAGATGTTTGAACCTCTTGATGTGCTAAATAATCAGTGGTGATGTAAACATTGTTTTTCACAGTGTGATTGTCCTTTGAAAGTGTCTTGTTTGAGTGCCTTGGACTTTCCCTCTTTGTAGGGTAGTTTTGGAAAGCGTTCCGACAGCCCATCAGCTGCTGTCGATGCTGATGCTTCTGATGTGCAGTCAGTGGACTCCAGCTTATCCAGGAGAGGAACTGGAACAAATAAAAAAGACACTGTTTGTCAGGTAAATGATGGTACTGTAAAGATGTTTTGACTGTTCCTGTTAATTTGAGGTGATAGACTTAGCAGATCATACTAGTTTGCTTTAACCATATCTTAGAATATTAAGGCGTTCGGGACTCTATGATCTGAAAATAGTTCCTAGGAGAGCTTATGGGTCAGGAATATTAAGGAGAAGCTCGTCTTTCTATTTAAGTATGAGAGAATTAGGACTCCATGTGGATTCTGTAGAACTTCTCCTTCCATTTTGGAGAGACTCACACTGTTACAGGAGAAAGCTGCCATAAATTCTTGGATTGTTTTCAGCCCGTAGATTTTGTCAAGTCTGCAGTGGGATGTAAGGCAATTCTCCTGACTTATTGTAACTCTCTTTAAGATCTGTGAGAGCTCTGGTGAGTCACTGGTGTCCTGTGAGGGCGAGTGCTGCAGCACCTTTCATATGGAGTGTCTGGGCCTGAAGGCAATGCCAGAGGAGAAGTTCTTCTGCACGGAGTGTAAAAATGGTGAGTGTGTTCCCATGGCTGAGAAAAGGGCAAGATTTCCTGCTCTGCCACAATATGATCAGAACAAGTAAGGTTTACTTACAGAACCTTAAAATCTTTTCAGTTTGGTCTGTTCTGTTACTTTTCTTAACCTCTGAGGCCGGATTTTCACTTTCCACATAGCAAGTATCTGGGAAGAGAAAGGGTGACAAACTGTTAAGAGTACTCTCAGCATAAAGCAGTTCAGGTTAGTAGTAGTTCAGTAGCGAATAATAGCAGCAAACAAAAATCTGTATTAGTCAGAGCAGCGAAGTTCTGTTCATTTCAGGATGTTTTTTTTTTTAACAGCATCTGTATCCCGAAGTACTGACATTTGGGCTTCTTTATTCCTTCTTTTACAAGGAGAACACACGTGCTTTTCTTGCAAACTTCCTGGCAAAGATGTGAAGCGCTGCTCTGTCAGTGCATGCGGTAAATTCTACCACGAGGCGTGTGTGCGCAAGTTTGCCACAGCTCTGTTTGAGTCACGAGGCTTTCGGTGCCCTCAGCATTGCTGCTCTGCCTGCTCCGTGGATAAGGACATCCATAAAGCAAGCAAAGGTGAGAGCAGAGCTGACCCTGAACAGCAGGAGAAACCTCAGATGCATCACCACAATGAGTCTGACTCCCAGTAACGCAGCGAGGAAGAAGGGCTTCATTCTTAATGAAGTCTTTAAATGTGTTGTGGGTGGGAAAGCAGCTAGCAGCCTGAGACCATTGGTCTGAGCACGCCTGGATCTGCAATGCTGATGTTGTCTTCTGTTGCTGAGTTTAATGTAAGCTGAGGGTTAGTGGCACAAGGCTGAGGAGTTCACTTTTTCTGAAGACAGTTGGGAGTGACTGCTAGAACAATTCAGGGAAAAAAGAATCCTTTTAGAAATGAACTAAAATAATTAAGCAAAAAAGCGAACTCTAGAACATTTAAACCATGTGTTTTTTTCCCCAACAGGGTTCTGAAGTGAAAGCTAACTTTTCTGAAACTTTTTCCAAGATGTAAATGTCTGTAATCTAGCACCCACATGGAATAAAAGTCAGTCTTGCGTCTGTCTGTACTATCTTGTACCATATCTTGACTCCAGGGTGACATGGTGCATCTTTTTTGCATTTATATTAAACAGGTCGCATGGTGAGATGTTTCAGATGTCCCATTGCCTATCACTCAGGAGATGGCTGTATTGCTGCAGGAAGCTTATTTGTGTCATCCCACATTCTCATCTGTAGTAACCATTCCAAAAGGAATCACTCCTCATCAGCTGTAAATGTAGGCTTTTGTTTCGTTTGTGCAAGAGGTGAGCACAACTGTTTTTTCCTCCCTCTGTTTTATAGTTCTTCTTATTGTCACTTGTGGAGTTTAATGATCAAAATGATGTGAAAGAAACATCTCTTAGGGCTGTGAGGCGTTTTTTAATGCTTTCTGTGATTTTTGGTGTAGTCAGCAGTTCATGTTAAGCTTCTACATGCTATTTTGGTCCCTCACTCAGAAGGCATGCTTCTGTTGCCAGTAGAAAATAATAGATGCTGAGCCCCCAGTTCTAGTCATTGCAAGCTGAGAATGAACACTTGTTATTCACTGTCTGTTAAGCAGAAGGGGGATTCTTTCACCACTCACAAATATAAACAAGTGTTTAAGGCTGGGAGTGAGGATTTACTCATGAGCTAGAAAAAAAATCATTTTAAATTCAAACTACCATCATGTTTGAGAACTTTGAAAAGAAAGCATTTTCAATACCATGTAAACAAGTTCCATGCTAGGATTTTCCATGTGTCCATTTTTTTTCCTTTTTTTTTTTTCTTTCCATTTTTTACTTTTCTGGCTCTCCAGTCACTTGAGTCGTTCCAAACAGCAAGCTGATAAGTTACAGCACACCAGTTACTCAAGCAGTGCAAAAAACATTGTTTTCTCTGGTGAAAGACTGTGTGAGGCTACAAGAGCAAACTCACTGCATGGGTTGGATTGAGTTCTGTCTAGTTATATGTGGTCAGCATAGAGATATAAGGTAAGGACAGCATCTGTGGAAGAAGAACTGCTCAGAAGGAAATGGGGAGCTGAACAATCTAGAAATACTTAAGCATCTGTGTGAGAAGAGTTACCTAATTAGTTTTAGTTGATGTTAGAAGGAGATAATCTGTGTTTAGATGCAAAACATGAGTGAGGTGGGAAAATGCATCATTAAAACTTATTCATGAGGTACTTAAAGAAAACATTTAAGTCTTCTTATTCACCTTCCTGAAATATCCTTCATTAAAGCACTTCATAGTTTCATGTAACTGCATGTGTGTAGGTCATCCTTGCTTTAGTTGTTGTTCTGAGGATGTGCTTTGCAGGCAGGCAGGCACCATTCTGCTCTCACCAGTTTTTCAGGTACCACAATTCCAAAAGTTCTTTTCAGCTCTCAGCTCTGTGCCCCTCTCTCAGGGGAATGAATTGGTGGCTATCTTGGTGGCTCATCCTCCATGCTTCTTTGGATCTCAGCTGTAACACTTCCCAGAATTATTGATTGAATGCTTCTGACCTGTACCTCTGGCTTTCTGACCTACGCTGCCTGACTTGGAGCAGCGTGGGTAAAGTCTTCTTAGTGGAGAAAGACAGAAAAAAAGCATACAGGCATCATTTGAAATAAAGGCATTTAGCAGAACAGAGTGCTCGACTACTCCAAAATGTCTGATTTGGCAGCTGTGGGGAGGCTGTTAGTGCAATTCTTACCTAAACACAGTGGATGTAGGGCAGAATTTTCATCCATTCTTTCTCCTCTGCTGCTTGCAGAATCACTGAGTCCTCCTGTTACTTTTTTAATTCTAAACCAATTATAAAGGCAAAATGCTTCCTTAGGTAAGATCTTGGCTTTCTAGGAAGTGGGATGGTGAATTCTGCAGCTATGGGGCCATGTGGAGGATTTCTGTTCTTCCAGTCTGTAGCCCCAGCTGCTGGTATTGCCTTAGAAGCAGTGGCTGACATCACCCAGCTCTTCACATCACCTTGCTTTTGCTCATTTGGGAGGGTGGTTTTGCACAGGATGACACTGGGTTGCTTTTCCTGTGCTTTCCTGTAGATGCACAAACATAAAAGCACTATTGAAGTTCCAGTTAGGAGAAGCTTATTCACTGTAGGTTTTTCCAGTTACAACTGAATTTAGTCTCTCTGACATATAACCTCTTTCTTAGGGGAGAAACTTTGTCAGACTTTTCTTTTTCTTCATTTTATCTTTTTTTCATTCACACGTATATGCATTATAGGTGTTCATTTGCTTTATTTTATTTTCTCCTTTACGGAATCATGGGTAGTTTCATTGCAACTCATCTCTTTCTGTTTGTTTCGTATAGGGCTGGTAGTGCAGGATCATTCAGACCCCCTGTTCAGTTCATATGCCTATAAATCCCACTACCTACTGAATGAATCAAATCGTGCTGAGTTGATGAAATTACCTATGATTCCTCCTCCTTCGTCAGCTTCCAAAAAGAAATGTGAGAAAGGTAACCAAAATAGTTTCTTTCTCTTTAATTTACTTTTGCTTTTTCTATTATTTCTCTATCTTTAATTCAAACAAGATATGTCTGCTTGTCAAGCATCACTTACTGCTTTTCAGTAAATTTCACTCATTGATTATTGTGAGCGCGTGTTCATGTCGTTGGCAATTTTTTTTTTATTATTATTATAAAAGGGCTTAAAATAATTGCTGTCACTAAATTCTCTTTGGAAGAGGCTAAATCATTTTGTATCTGGCCTAGATTACTCCACTGTCAGGAAGCTGTTCACACAGCAATAGGAAGAAGAGGCAAACAGAGCTCGGTACCATTGCAGTTCAGTGCTTACCTCGATGGCGTACAGAACAACAACTTCTTAAATTGGTTTTATATACAGAAGAAGAGGGGAAATCTCTTTCAGATCTTGTAGGTAGGCTAAGCCAAGCCCAAGGGAATGGAGGATTTTTCAGGTGGAACATCGCTGGCTGCTGTTGCCATTCCAGAGGTGATGCAGAGGGGAAGGTGATGAGGTCGTGCTGTGTATGTGTGTGTTGCAGTCCTTGGGCTGTTCCTCTCCTGCTGCTGCTCCTGGGACTGCTGCTGTGCTGGGCAGGAGTGGCAGGAGGGGGCTGCACCTCCTGCAGAGGGATTTTGTCCTGTGGAGAAAACTGCAGGGTTTATTGCCAGGAGAGAGAGCTCATTTCATGCTGGCGTGGGTAGTGCTGCAGTGTTTCACAATACCTTATGGGGAGATACGTGTTGTCTCTATCAAATACTCAGATGTTATATTTTATTCCCCACAGAAATGGTGCCCAATTAACCATTCTAAAGTTAGGTTATTATCAGTGTTGCTAGACTGATGGCTTTCAGTAGTTTCTGTAAGTCCTAAAAACAAAAATTATTTTGAGCCCTCTGCTTAGCTTGAGCAATACCTTACTAATGCATCCTGAGAGCAATTTTTTTTCTTGCTTAGCATTGAAAGATTTGTTTGATTTTGCTTGATTTTTTTTTGCATCTCCTGGCATTTTACCGTGTTGGATAATGCTGTGGTGGTTTACACTGGGTCTGTATTTCCTCTGAGAGAATATTTGCAAAAATCACTTGAGAAACTTGAAGTTTGACTTTGGGGAAACTCTGGAAAACCCACGTGGTTGGAATTTGCTGTCTGTAGCAGAGGAAATACAGTATTGGTTGTGTGATTTATTTGTTTAAGGAATGCTTATTGCAACATTCAACAATCAATTAATGTAACGACATATTGGAAAGTCTATAGGTGGACAAGATTTTCTGGTACTTCTTTTTCCATACTGTGACTGAAAATTCCTTCAAAAGATCTTAAGTATCTCCCAGATTTTTGGTCCCTGGGACACAAACATTTGATGACTTTTTTTCTGCTCTGTAAATGCATATATATACACATGTGTATATACGTATGTATATATATTTATATAAAATACTACAATATGTGTGTTTTACTCATTGTGTGAGCTGCTCTGGTTGCTGAGGATGGCTTAGAGATGTGCTGTGGCTCTCCATGTGTAATGCATCTGTTTAAACATTTGTCCAAAGAAATGGAAACTTGTGCAGGTTAGCCACGCTGCACTGAGAGTTCCTTTGCACACAGAAGGAACTTTTGGGATAAGGACAACATCTGTGGTGCCACTGCATTATGTAATTGAATTCACATTACTCAAAACACTTAATTTTTCCTTTTTCTGAAATAAACAGATTGGTAATGAGAACTCTTTCTATGCTGCCATTACTACAGAAAAGCATTGATCGACCTATAGGCTGTGGGATTGGGTTTTTGTAATGCATACTAACTGTTTGCTAAGGGATTCAGTCACAACAATGTTGATGGAAAAAGTATTTCTTAGAATTCGTTTTTTTTTTTTGTCACCATTAAACTTTTGACCATCACCAAAGACATTAAAGTTAATGGCACAGCTTCCATCTGTAGTGCTTCCTTCGAGTGCTGCTTCCATTGCCAACTTTGCTCACCTTGAAAAAGCATTTGCTGTGTAGTATATGGCTGATGCAATTAAGAGCCACAATTTGCACATTGGAGAAGTGCACTGCAGCTTTTTTTTTTTTAATCCAGCATTGTAAGTTTGACTTGATCCCTTTCTTTTTGGCATATTTTTGCTGTGAGGCAAGCGAAGGTTGAGAATATATGACTAAAAATTGATATCAATTGCTATGCACAAGAGAAGGCAAATCCTTACTTCTATAAACCAGACAGGGTTTCTTTGTTTAAAGGTGGAAAACTGTTGTGCTGTGAATCCTGCCCAGCTTCCTTTCACCCTGAGTGTCTCAACATAGACATGCCTGAAGGATGTTGGAATTGCAATGACTGTAAAGCTGGCAAGAAGCTACGTTACAAGCAGATTGTTTGGGTCAAGCTTGGAAATTACAGGCATGTTTACCATTTTGTTCTTTTCTTGTTGCTTTGTTTTAATGTCCTGTACAATCACAGGAGGGTGACTCAAAGTAGCTCAGTCTTGGTAAACAAGAACTTGAAATGTAATGATTGATTTATTTCATTTCAGGCATCAGTGTTGCTCTTCAAATTGAGTTCTCCTGCTTTTCCAGGCACTGAAGGATACTTGATTTCACTTGCATTTGGCTCTGTAAAATGCAATAGCAATATGGAAAACCAGGGACTGCCTTACAGAGCTTGTGTTTACTCTTTGTCACCTGCAAGAATAAAAGCATTTGTAGGTGGTCTTAAAAATCCATTCTTATAATCATCTTCTCATAAGACTTTCCCAAAATTTGGAGCAAGAACTTTAATAACGAAGGGCTTCTGCTGTTTTGTGTGGCACTTGGCAATGATGCCAAAAGGAGCCTTGGTTTTGTAAGGGAGGAGATCATTTCTTTGGGAAAGAAGTGGCTTTTACTTATTTAAGAGTGAAGCAAACTTGGAGGCTTAGGCTGTGGTTCCCAGAACTTACGTGCATCCTTTCTTTGTGCTTCCAGGTGGTGGCCAGCAGAGATCTGCAATCCCAGGTCTGTGCCTCTCAACATACAGGGCCTCAAACATGATATCGGGGACTTCCCAGTATTTTTCTTTGGTTCACATGACTACTATTGGGTACACCAGGGCAGAGTTTTCCCTTATGTTGAAGGAGATAAAAGCTTTGCTGAGGGGCAAACTAGTATTAACAAGACCTTCAAGAAAGGTAAAATCAAACAAAGTTTATAGTGGTTTATGACAAAAAAAAAATTCCACGTGTTTGTGTCTCCATCACCACTTAACCTGCATGGGAGTATTATGTGACTGGTGTTCTGTGTTCACACATAAAGCTGCAAACATTGTGTAGATCCCTTAACTGCAGATAAAAAGTATTTTAAGTGCCTGCTCATTGTGTATTGCTGTGGGCAGGTTCACTTCTTGCACAGTCTGGGAAATGTGAAGGTGGTGCTTGGGCTCAGCTGCATGGGATCATTGTTCAATATCTCAGTTTCTGCTGAAAAGTATCCGATAAAGATTCATGATGTACTGCAGTAACTCATTTTTAACTTTCTGGATTTTTCTGTATATGTATTTCTATTCATAGCTTAAAGAAAAAGTATATGTTTGATTAACAGCAGCTCGTGTTAATTGCTCCCTATTTTGAACTCCCTCCCTTGAACAGCACTCGAAGAAGCAGCAAAGCGCTTCCAAGAGCTGAAAGCACAAAGAGAAAGCAAAGAAGCATTGGAAATTGAAAGGAATTCAAGGAAACCTCCACCATATAAACACATTAAAGTGAGTTGGCTTCTTTCTTTTTCTTTTTTCTGTTTATGAGTAAGCTAATTGCATGCTTGCAACAATTTCAGCTTAAGGAGATGCACAAGAATCATTTTGCTGTTCTTTACAAGAATCTTTTGTTCTCTTATGGTACCAAAAAACATATTTTTAGCAGAGTATCAGTCCAAGTTAAGAGGTGAAGATCAGCTCCACCTGAGGTAGAACTAAACTGCTTGCAAGCTGCTCTCATCCCTCTTAGTTACATGCTGGCTGTTACAACCTTTTTGACCACTCAGCCTACTTAAGAGCTGTGGAGTCTAATTCTTGCCAGCAGTTTTGGACGTGTCAAGCTTTACATTAAAATTAAGAACTTCATATGAAAAATATAAAGAAATCCTGTACTTGAAAAAGTTGTTCAGGATCTTTGTGCGTTGTCCTCAACTTTTATTCTTTTTGTCCTCTATTCTACAGTCCAACAAGGTAATAGGGAAGGTTCAGATTCAGGTGGCTGATCTGTCAGAAATCCCTCGCTGTAACTGCAAGCCATCTGATGAGAACCCCTGTGGTCTGGAGTCAGAGTGTCTGAACAGGATGCTGCAGTATGAGTGCCACCCCCAGGTGTGCCCAGCAGGAGAGCGATGTCAGAACCAGTGCTTCACCAAAAGGCTCTACCCTGATGCTGAAATCATCAAAACTGATCGACGTGGATGGGGTCTCAGGACAAAAAGGAACATTAAAAAGGTAGAATTAAAGTGAACAAAAGCTGAGGTAGCCATCAGTGTGGTTTTACCTGAGAGTGCTGCAACTTAAGGAAACGCACACAAAAGTTTCACTGCTCTCAAGTGAAATATTTCAAGTGTTTAAAAGACACTTGTAAGTTGTGTGGGTGCAGCACTAATGGTGAAATCTGTTCAGCTGTTTTGACAGAGTTGTCATAACCTTGATATTTACTCACAGAACAAAAGTGAGTTTCAGGTGACTGAATTCAGATTCCACGGGTGGAGAGGATGAGGTGGCTGTCTCATGTTTCTAGGAGGAAAAAACCTGTGTGTGTTTTGTCAGTGACTGCTGGGCAAAAGGGAGACCTCAGTCTGGAGAAGTAGTCTGAATGATGATTTCTTTCTGTGAATAACACCAATGAAGATGATGAAGTCGTAGAGATTGGGCACAATAAGTCACCTTACACGTGGTTTTATTTTTTGTTTCTTTGACTTTGCAGGGTGAATTTGTGAATGAATACGTTGGTGAGCTAATTGATGAAGAAGAGTGCAGACTGCGAATTAAACGTGCCCATGAAAACAGTGTAACCAATTTTTATATGTTAACAGTTACGAAGGTAAATACTATGGTTTCATTCAATATAAGCTGTTTATGGTTGAAACTATTTCAATTTTGTAAGCCCTTTTCTGTAGGACTGACTTTGGGAAAACTTCCCTGTTCTTACTAACTTGAATTAGAATTTTTTTTTCCCTTCTTAGCCTTATGTAGTTACTTGTCAGCAGGAAACTTTTTTGTTGTAAGTGCTAAACATAATCTGTGCTATTTCTCTGCCTTTTCATTTGAAGGATCGGATAATAGATGCTGGTCCAAAGGGGAATTATTCTCGCTTTATGAACCACAGTTGTAATCCAAACTGTGAAACACAGAAATGGACGGTGAATGGTGACATCAGAGTTGGGCTGTTTGCTCTTTGTGACATTCCTGCAGGTAAGAGGATAGCTCTGTTTTATGTATGCATTCCTGTTAAAATCCAAAGCTCCTAACTTTAACCCAGTTTTCTATGTGGAAACTGCTTAATCCAAGTGACATTTATCAGAACTTGGTCACTTGTTGAGGTAGAAATGTTACTGTTGCATACCTGTTTTCCTCGTGTCCGTGTGGATGAATTGTTCTTCTTTACATTTTAGGAATGGAGTTAACATTTAATTATAATTTGGATTGCCTTGGGAATGGTAGGACTGAGTGTCACTGTGGAGCAGAAAACTGCAGTGGTTTCCTAGGAGTGCGTCCAAAGGTATGTGGGTGAAAATTGGATCTGTTTTCCTCCCTTGAAAGTCTCCAGAGATTTTAGTTATGAACTGTGGTACTGCCATTTCCAAGTTAAAGTTAATTTACTAATTGGTTACTTCAAATTCTTGTGGATGTGCATACCTGACTTCCATAGCTTAAAAGCTTTTTTGAGCAAATTTAATGTGAGCGTAATTCACACAAGTAACAGCCAAAGGTGATTAAATTTATTTCAGTGTGAGGGATTTATAAAGTGACTTCTGTTATCTTGATAATTGCTAGACAGCATTTGCAACAGCAAATGAAGAGAAGGTGAAGAATGCAAAACTAAAGCAGAAGAAGCGGAAAATAAAAACAGAACAGAAGCAGATGCACGAAGACAACTGTTTCCAGTGTGGAGATGGGGGAGAACTTGTCATGTGTGATAAAAAGGACTGTCCCAAAGCTTACCACCTCCTATGCCTTAACCTGACTCAACCACCTTTTGGTAAGAGCATTCCTGTCACTTGCTTTTCCTTCCTGCAGTAAGACAATATTGGAGCTGAATTGTGGCATCTGTTTACATGAAGCATAGCTGTTTTTGCAGTGCTGTCTGGCTTTAGAAGTCTATCAGGTAGCAGTGTCCCCTGTAACAAGAACCTGTGGAGAGAGGAAGCATTGTAATATTATTTAACTTGATGCTTCTGTTCCTTGGATCGACTTTTTCTTTTAGTTGAAGTACAACCATCTTGATATGCCAAGGTCACCACCCACAAATCATGTGATAGATCATGTGTTATGTGCTTTTTTGTTGTAAGCACGGAAGCTTTCCTCAAAATAGCTTATTTGCTGGAGGGAGAAGTAAACAGTGTCTTAACACCAAGAGCAACTCGAATTCGAGTTTTCAGTGTTTTTTCTTTATTTCTCATTGAAGCTCAACCTCCTGTCTCTCTCTCTTCTCCCTTCCCCTTCTATCTTCAGGAAAGTGGGAATGTCCGTGGCATCAGTGTGACATCTGTAGCAATCCTGCAGTTTCGTTCTGTGAGTTCTGCCCTCATTCTTTCTGTAAGGATCACGAGAAAGGAGCCCTGGTGGCATCGGCACTGGACGGCCGTCTCTGCTGCTCCACACACGACCCCAAATCTCCCGTGGCACCTGAGTACTGGAACAAGATAAAATGCAAATTGGAACCTCAGAATCCTGTAGAAGAAGCAAAGGAGTGAATTTTTGTTTAAAAACAAAAAAAACCAACAAGGGAGGGAAGAAGAAGAGGGGCAAATAGGCGATGCTTGAAGAGACTGCTATGACACATTCAATCTGTATCATCGGCGCTGTCTTGTGTGAACTGGGAGTGGGACCACTTACCCTTAACCAAGCAGAAGCAGGCAGTGGTGTTTGTTTTTTATTGTTTGGTCTTTTACCCTTGAATGTGCTACAAGCAGCTCTTTCTGTTGGAAAACAAACGTCTCGGCCTTCTAAAGCAAACAGTAGACCTTTTGACAGTGAAACGAATATTCTGTTTAAAGATGTTCAAGTGTAGAAAACAAAGCATAGCAACATATTTATTTATTTAATTTTTAAAGGATGTTGAAGATCTGGTTTGGATCAGTCAGCGTGTCTTTAAAAAAAACAAAAAAAAACAAAACAACAGCGAAGCCAACATAACTCCTACGTCTAGTTTACAAAAAGAACAAACCCTCCCTGCGCTGTGTAACATTCAGGTATCGTGAAGATAAATGTGGGTTTCAGACCAGGTGACTGAAATGCCTCCATTCCGTACTTATTTTTAAAGGCAGGTTGTATATCATGTTAACTTGTGAATATTGCTGTAAAGCTTTTCCTGTGAGAAATAATGTGTATGGCTCTTTGGGAGTGCTTGTAACACAAGTGCTGATGTTTTAAGGAGGAAGGGTGTAGTTGCTTGCTGGAGAGCTGTAATTGGTGGTGTTTGCAGACAGGTGGAAATTCAGAAGGAGCTGAATTGCACAGTGGTCATTTCTTTACTAGGAAAGCCTTCCTAGTTAGGAGAGCTCCTGGCCTTGGTCGCACTGCAGCACACAGAACTGAGGTCAGCATGCTGCCCTGGGAGCACTGCCTCTGACTGCTTTTGGTGGAGGATTGTTCTGTGTGTGGATTTGTCATCTGCCAAGTTGTGCACTTGTTTTATGGCTGTTATGTTATTGTGAATCTTTATTGCTTTCTTCTCAGACTCCCATTGGTTCCAGAGGAAATTCGAGTGCTTAAGGAATCCAACCCATCTTCATGTTTCTTTTGATTTGAATATTTATGTTTGTAGTGAAAAAGATTTTCTGACTTTATAATGTTCACTGTTAATGGAGCTAAGAAAAGCAAGTTAGTCCCCTACAGCACTTCATCCATAACAGAGTGTTTGCTGTGCTAGGTAATAGGATTCACAGCAGCCACCCTCAGCCTGGTGGGATGTTTGTGTGTTTTGTATTTCCTTTGTTAATCTGCAGGGGAGCAGGCTGCTTCAATGAGGCTCCTGAGTTGGCTTAGGTAGGCTCCTGCTCCAGATTTTCTTCTGCAAACCTTTCCTATCCTGCAATCCTCAAGCAAGGAGCTTAGAGGGATTAGTTTCTCCAGGCTGAAGTTGGTCTTTGGTGAATCTCCTCCCCTAGCCTGCAACCTTTCCAAGTGCTGCAGTCAGCGTGCTTTGGCTGTGTGCTGGTGCTGGCTTTTTGCTAATGGCTCTTGGAGGTTGCCTTGAACAAAAGGAATTAATTTTAAGTGTTGCTGGCATCTGGCTAAATCCGAGCCTTTGAGTTAATTCTCGAGAACCCTGTCTCTAGGAAACTGCTGACATAAACCTGCAGGAACGTGGTGACTTCTCAGCCTGAGAAAACAGGCGAGGAAGGCACACATGGGATTGTGGAGCTTGTCTTGCTTCTGGCTGCTGTCCTTCTCATTCTCAAACTTATGTATGGGAGGGGAAGAAAAAAAAGTTTGTGCACTTGTGAAGTTACAAAATACACTACAGTCCCTCGAAGCAGCCATGGTGCCAAGCAGCTGATCTGTCAGTGCACCTCTGAGCAGGCTGAGCCTTGCTGCAGCCTGTGGGTGTTCAGGGGGCACAGCAGTGCCAGTGCTGCTGGGCTCAGCTGATGGCACAAGAGGGCTGGTGGGAATATAAAGCACTTCTCGTGGTCCATGCTACAGTGAATGTCTGAAACACTAATCTTGCTTGAAATATTTTTTACAAAAATATTTACGGAAAGAATTTTATTTTTCTGAACGTTTTGTGTGATAAATGTCTCTTTTTAAGCTCTTACTGGGGGGTGTTTCACCTCTTCAGAGATTCCAAACGCAGCCGTTGCTGCGGTGTCTGTAAGGCTTGATGTGTTTACTTTATTTTATTTATTAGTCTTGGTAGTGTTGAAATAATTTTCTCTTGGGAAGTCAGAGCATTCCAATGATTACAAATGTGTTGTAGTGTGAGTGCACCTCACTCTGTGTCCATGGGGACGTGCTGAGGTGTGCTGATGCCAGAAGCCTTCACAGCTGTTGGAGATGGCAGTGAGCAGAACACAGCTGGAGAGCATTAATTGCCACGTGAAACCTGTTGCTGTGATGTACTGCTATGCTGCATAGCACAGAATGTGAAGGTTTGCAAAAGGCTTTAAAAAACTTCTGAAATGCTGTGAATTGGGGCCTGCTGCTACTCCTGTGCCATGCCACTTGATTCCTGGCTAACTTTTTTCTCAAACTTCTTACAGGTGCTCCTTTTTTCCACCAAAAAAAAAAAAGTAATAATGATAGCCAGCAGCTGGGCTTGGACTCAAAAGGGAAAGCAGGAAATTGGTTTGTAAGCTTGTGCAGCTCACGAACAAAAGTCAGAACTGGATGTCACACTACTGAAGAGAAGGTGAATCTTTCTCATATCAGCCTTTAAGATTTTAGGAAGTACCTAATTCAGAATAGCTTGATAGCTGTGCTGAGTTTGTTCTGTATGCCAAATGCAGGGCTTTAAAACACACCTTTTCAACCACATCCTGGTAAATGTGGGAGTGCAATTCCTTTGTATAGGGATTGTATAGGATGTGACAGATATATGTTGTGATTAACTGGCATCAGCTGCTGGATTCCATCTGTGTGGTCTCAGGAATGAGGGGAGCAGTGCTGGGCAGCTTGGCCACAGGTGCAAAGGCCTGAAGGAAATCCCCAGAGCTGCTGCTGATGTCATTGAGGTGTGCAACCTTTTGTTCCTTGGCTGGGACATGCAATCATGCTTCTCCCTTACTTTTGTCTTATTTTTGGAGGGAGTGCTGTGCTTCAGCTGCACAGCCGACCCCAGACCTGCAGCCCGTGCTCTCTGTAATGTGCAGCATCTGAGCTGCTCTGCTAAGTTAGCAGGACTTTGGTGTTTACTGGACTCTGTGCTCTGCAGCACGCACCTTTGTGCAGCGTGGGTGTTCTGCAGATCACAACCAAATGGTGCAATGGTCAATTACTGCAATTTCCTGCACACGTGACACAAGCATTAATTATTGTAGCTTTCAGATTCATCAGACTTGTCCTGTCAATGGACTGTAAGGATCAAAGGCATTATTTGCAGCTCAGGAAGGATGGCATGATGATGATTTTATGGGCAAATTCCCTTCTCTGGTCACCACCACGGTCTGAGAGAATTACAGTGGAGTAATGGGGCTGGAATGTAGAATTTTGGCCTTTCTTCTAAAACCTTGTTATCTTTGTTTCAGGATAGAACGAGAAGACACAATTACTAGATGTAATTAACAATGAGCATAGAATCTGTATATATTGAGACTTTACAGAACTATGGGGTGGGTGGGGAGGAGGGTGGGAGGAGGGGATGTCCAGCGCTGGTACGAAGTGGTCACTTTAACATGAAACCTCTGCCTCATTGAATTCAGGGTTTAATGTACTTGAAGCTCTGCATTCCTTATCCAGCTTTTTTTTTTTAATTTATACATCCTTTGTTTTGTATACGGCATTGAAGATGTGTTCACCTCCCTGCTGTCAGCTCTGCTCCTGTGGCACATGGACTCTGCGGTGCCGCCTGAGCAGCGATGGCCATTTTGTGTTTGGTCTCAGCTTTTCCCCCCTCACCCCCCCCGCGTTACCTTCGTGTAGCAAAATGGTTTGCACTTCTGATACACTCCTATCCTTTGGATGTATTCACAATGTTGTTCTAAGGAGGAAGAAAGAAGCTGTTTCCTGTCGTATCGTGTTGCTGAGCGGCGGATTCGGGTCCATGTGCTCCAGCCAGGGGCTCTCATTGCTGGAGAAGGGGGGAACTGAGTGGAGATCTGAGCTTTGCACAGGAGATTAATGGGAATGAATGGGAATTAATCTCCTTTGCACAGGTAATTAATGTGAAAACAAAAGGGTGCACAGCATGCATGACTCCGTGCCGGCTGTGAGCTCTTGGTCCCTTCTCCAGGTGAGGATGGGAGCCCTGCACTCTCTGCTCTGTGTCTATTTGGTGCCACTTCTCCTATCTCACAAAATGAAGGGAATGGCAACGACTGCCTGCGGGGATCCTGGGCCTCACCGCCGACCTTCACAGCGTTGTCATTTCTGTCCACTTTGTTCCTCTGTACCAAACTTTGTAGGTTCTGTGAGACGTTCTTTTAACGAAATCACTTTCAGTCTTTACCTGCAATGCATCAGCAAGTCACCGAAGTCACTCTAGAGCTGGGAAGCCAACCCGGAGCTCCGGGTGCTGTTCTGGGGTGTTACTGTACCATGGTTGGTGTTTTGCCACATAGGCTTTTTGAGAAATACCATTTTTGGGGGTTGTGTCGTTCGGCCTACGTTCTCTTGCATAGTGTGAAGCCTGTAAAGCTCGGTTACCCTGTACATAGGTAGCTTATTGTCAGCCAGTTCTAGCGTACTTAGCCTTGCCTGTAATATTTTAGCTTCTTACTGAATGTGTGTGATGGTAGAACATATAATTTTTGTACATTATATTTACTGAGATGTTGCCTTTTTTATTTTACAAATACTTTGGAATTCAGATGTGTTTTTGCTTCCGTGAGGATTCATTTGGAAAGGTTTTTAAATGACATTCCACCGATTTGAACTTTTTGCTTGAGGTTGACTTCAATAAATCGTTCTGAATGTTCCAACACCGGCCGCTTTCCCCCTTTCTTCCGGGGCCGGGATTCGAACTCGCGGCGCCGCACTCCGACCCGGGGCGGGGCCACGTGGTGGTGGGCGCCATGCGGCGGGCGGGCGCGGCGGGGCTGGCGGCGGAGGCGGCGGTGCGGGCGATGCTGGCGGCGGTTTGCGCGTAAGTGCCGGGCTGCGGGGTTCCGCTCCGTGCCCCGCAGATGCCCGCAGCCGTCATTTCCCTCCGCAGGGTGATGGAGCTGCTGCCGCCCTTTCAACGCGTGGTGCAGCCCGAGGAGATGTGGCTCTATCGGAATCCCTACGTGGAGGCGGATCGCGTTCCCACGGCGCCGATGTTTGTAAGTGCCGCGGTTCCTGCGCTCCATTTGCCTTCGTTTGTCAGCTGTTGTTTTAAAGCAAAGCTACGAGCACAAAGCCTTGCAGATACCTGCGGTTCTCGCCTGAAGTCACTGCGAGCGCAGCGCTCTTGCAGCAGCACAGCCATTTTTTTGTAGTCCTTTTAGCCCTTACCATCCAGAATTGCCCTTTGGGTTTGAACTGAGCTTACAGATACCCCTGAGAACTTCTCATCGTTGTGTGTTTAGTTGCTCTGCTAACACTGGGCCGTTTTTTCCCTTTGCTGCAGTTCATTGCATTGCTGTCTCCAGTGCTGCTCATCATCTTGGCCCGGCTGTTCCTGGGTGCTGACCACGAGGATACACAGGAGGCGTGCCTGGGTGAGCAGCTCCGGGCCAGCAGGGCTGTCTGGGGGGAGAGGGGGGATTTAGGGAGCCCGGGGTGGTCTCATAGGTTAATCCTTCCCAGGACACAAACATTGTGCTGGGGTGTTAAAGCTGAGCGATCCAGCTCCAACTTGTCCATGTAGACCTCAGTGTTGCATGGGATGTGCCTGATGAGCAGTCAGGCACAGAACGTTGCAAGCTGAGCACAAGCAGCTCAGGCAGCCTGTGTGGGGCTGATGCGAGCTCTCTGCTCTCTCCCAGCTGCCAGCCTTGCTCTCGTCCTCAATGGAGTCTTCACCAACAGCCTGAAGCTCGTGGTGGGCAGGTGAGGAGCTCTGGGCTGTGTAGGATGGGATGTGCAGTGTTGAAGGTAGAAGAGGAGGAGGAAGGGCTGGATGCTGGAATTTGGATGTGCTCAACCTGAAACAAAAGCTTGTTTTTGTAGCTGTATAGATGTAGTATTAGAGCAATGCTGTTCTCCAGGCATCATTTAGATGGGCACATAGAGGCCTGCACCAGGGTTGGGGTGACTGCATGCTATGGTTGGGGTGGCAAAACATCACCCTGGAAGACTGTGCCCCATGCTGGTGAGGGGACATTGAGGCTCCAAGCATCCCACAGAGTGTGGGGCAACGTGCTCTGCTCTGCTCCTCTGCCCCAGGCCAAGGCCAGACTTCTTCTATCGCTGCTTCCCAGATGGACGAGTGAACACAGAGCTGACCTGCACAGGTGACCCCAGCCTGGTGGCTGAGGGACGCAAAAGCTTTCCCAGTGGGCACTCCTCATGTAAGTTCTGGGTGCCCAGAAAGCAGTGAGCAGGAGCCTGCGGGGAGGACAGCATAGCTTTGCTGTCACACACACCATTCTGTGACCTTCCTTCCAGTTGCCTTTGCTGGCCTCGCCTTCTGTGCCTTCTACCTGGCTGGGAAACTGCACTGCTTTGCTCCTGGCCGGCGAGGCTCAGCGCTGCAGCTCTGTGCTTTCCTCCTCCCCCTCTTCATCGCCACACTCATCGCCGTGTCCCGTACCTGTGACTACAAGCATCACTGGCAAGGTGGGTCAGCTGTGATGCCCAGGGCTGGAGCAGCCTGCTGCTCTGGGGCTGTGAAGGTGAAGGGAGGTAACTTTCCTGGCCTTGCCTGCAGATGTTCTGGTTGGCTCAGCAATGGGCTTTGTGCTGGCATACCTCTGCTACAGGCAGTACTACCCTCCTCTGATGGACTCCGTGTGCCACAAACCATTTCTGTCTATATCTAAACAACTGCCAGCACACCAAGAAAAGCCTGCAGCTTCCAGCTTTCACCTGGATATTTAGTGATGTCACTCTGTATTCTGCTGGCACCTCTTCTTCTGCACCGTGAGTATCAGGGCAGGGAAAGGCTGGCTGTGGCTCACAGGATGTGTCTCAGGTTGGTAAGCTGTCCTGCTCAATGGGTGTCTGTGGCTTCATTTCAATTAGTTCTGTAGGTGTCCCTTCCTTTGGGCCTGCTGGGAAGTGAGATCAGCTTCAGCACATGAGCCTGCAGGGCAGCCTGGCTTCAGAAGGTCCTACATTGAAAACTGAAGAAATGTGATGATGTGGTGTGACATGGCTGTGGGTATCCCTGGGTCGGTCTGCAGCAAAGCACAGTCAGGTCTCCCTTCAGTGCAGCTGAGCTGCCCCCATCCCTTCCCATGGGATGCGTGTGTCAAAGTGAAGGGCAGAACCTGTTGTGTTGCCAGGGTTAAATGCATCTCATCAGTCAGAGATGAACTAATTTGGAGTAATGAACACAAAGCTGCAGCCTTTAACCGTGGATTGAGTGGGTGAGACAGAAGATGCAACTAGCATGATTGTTATTTGTGTTATTGTGCTGGCTCTTTTTTTCTTCTTAATTTGGCAAATAAAGGAGTTTAAATTTTAATGAGCTGTGGTACCAAAAGCTTCCTTTAGTGGCTGGGTCTGGGACCATATAAGCCAATGCACCTGGGTATGTCTGCATGGCTTCCTAGGCAGGTGCTTATTTGCTATCTTTCTCCTTGCAGCTTTAACACAGTTGTAAGGAGGAATCTAAGCACAGCTTTCTGGCAGGACTGCTGTAGGTTAATGGTTTCTCAGTAATCTCCACCATCCATGGGAGTGTTCTGTGTCACACGCGCGTGTGCAAACTGCAAGGTGAGACCAGCAGAGCGAGAGATGTGTGCCTCTGCCTCTCAAGCTCAGCAAACAACAGTAACTGATGTGTCATCAGTTTGGGCCCCATCAGCCCCACGTAACCCTGCAGCCTTAGAAGAACTTACAGACACTGCTTTTCTTTCCCTTCAAATTATACAAACGTAAATTCTTCGACCCACTCCTCTCCCTCTCCCCCAAATGCATCACAGTCATCTGTTTATTTGTTTTGGCTTTTACTGGAAAAGACATTAAATAACATTTAAAACGTATTTAATCTTTTTTTTCTTAACAAAGTGCATAACTTAAAAAGCTGGTCACGAGTGTCCCATGTTAAGACTGTTCCTTTTCTTACTCCCATAGGAGGCGTTTAGCAATCGGTAACTCAGACTCTGAAGGAGCAGAATATCTGCTTCTGCAGTCAAGTAAATGAACAGCTTCAGTTCCTTTGGGCTGGGAGGAGGTTGGAGGCTGCAAACAACACCTTTTGAATAGTGCAAATAACGAAATACAACAGAGGACAAACAAATGGATGCTATGGAAACAAGGCTTGTTACCCCATGCAGGGCAGAAGTCAGTGGGAGGGAGGTGGCTCTTTCCAAAGGCTGCAGTGACCTTACATGCCACTGAAACATCTCCCCCTGCCTGCTCTGAGGCTCCAGCTGCAAGTCTGGCAGTGGTTTGGATCACAGGGAACTGATCACCTGGGGCTCTCTGTTGCCCTTGGAGGAGAGCTAACACAAAGCAGCAAGCTGCAGGCTGTGCTGCTTGCTGGACTGCTTGAATCTCTTCAGTGGAGTCACTGATGAGGCAGTGCTCAGACCCAACAGATCTGGGCTCTGCACCATTTGCTGTACTTGCCAACAAAACCACTGGCTGGAACCTGATGGGTATGAGATCCCTGCAGTCACTTTGAACTCAGCACTGCTGCGTGCTCCTGCAGAGCAGAGGAGGGCTGTCCCTACAGGGCTGGCTGCCTGGAGCAGCTGCTTTCCCCAATCCAGTTTGGATTTGGAGGTAAAGCTTTCCTGGGGTGCTGTTCACGTGGCCATGAGCAATGGTCCTTATCTGCACCTCCCAAAGGCTGCAGCACTCCAGCCCAGTGCTACAGCAGGAGAGCAGCGCCTCATCCTTCTCCCATGAGAAGTCAGCATCTCCTTTGCTCAAGGCTGCTATTGCTCTCTCCATGCTGTGTGTTTAAGGCTTTTATTTCTCAAGGTCCCAAGCTAAGAGTATCCTTGCTAAGCCCACAGCTGGGTTCAGGCCCTTGTATTGCATTTCCTAGCCCAAGCAGCTGTCTGCATCAGTACTGCAAAGCCTGTGTGATAACCTACAAGGTGGGCAGACGAGTTCAGGGCTGACAGCATGTGTTGCCACAGGGAGTCACAGTGTAAGTGCTGTGTGTGTGTTAGCAGAAGTGGGTTTTGTTCGGTTGGTTTTTTTTTTTTTCCTACCCAAAATGGAGGAAAACCATCTTTATCTCCAGGCAGCAGCAAGTACTGGGGAAGCAGCATGCGGGGCACAGCAGCAGAGGAGAGAGGAAGGCAGAGAAGAAATCTGAACTTTCCTGGTGAGTACTCAATTGAATTGTATCTAAGAAAGCAAAGGGAGAACACTGGAGTAAATCTTGTGTCTGATGTGCTTTTGTGCATGATAAAAGAGGAAGGAAGCCCTGTGTGCTGACAGGCCAAAAGCAAGCCCAACCAGCACTGTAAATAAGGAACATTATTCCCTCCAATGGACTGTATGTCCTCTAGGGTCTCCTAGGAAAGTTGGAAGTGTAGGCATGTAAGGTGACTTACAAGAAGTGGTTGAACAGCACGGCGTGGTCATTGGCTTCCTGGCAAAGGTTGGTCCAACGTAACACCTATTGTCTGGTAGATCTCCTTCAGAACCAGCAGAACAGTGTCCTCTGACTCCCTGCAAGTGGGGGCATGAGCATCTCATCACCTTGGTGTTAAGAATGGCAGCATTCTGCCTACAGCAGACACGAATCTGAAGCTTGATGACAGTTAGGCAGGAGCTTACCAATAGCAGAGATGCCCTTGCAGTGCAAATAAATATTCATTAAAGCTCTCAATGGGTTTTTCCTGGAGCACGTAGTCGATGCGATTCCCCCTGTTCAGCTTCCCCACGTTAATGAGGGAGGGATCCTCCTTTGCTGGCACCGGTGCCTCCTCTGGCTTTGGATCTGGAGGAAGGAACAGCAGTTTGTCTCAGCAGCAGCACACAGCAAAGCACTGCCTGGTGCTCCCCCAGCCCTGTGCCCACTCACCTGGCTGCTTCTCTGTGCTCTCCTCTGTCTCTGCCTCCCCTTCACTGCTTGTTCCCTCCACAGCTGCCAGTGGGGCGCGGGTGAAGGACTGCCAGGCCACCCGCAGGGACCCCAGCAGGTTGTTCTTCAGATCCACACTCATACGTGTCAGCCCCTCTTTCAGCTCTGCAAGGCAAGGGCTGCTCTCAGGCACGGGGCTGTTAACTTTGGCTGGGGTTGAGGGGTGGCCGTGTGCATCCTTACCGAGGTGCATCCTCTTCCTGCCTTTGTGGTGTGGGAGCAGCATGGGCTCAAATTCCAGATCTGGGACAATCATGGGCTCAATCCTGTATGCCACTGGGTCGAACTGTGGGGAGAGCAGTGAGCATGGGCTGAGCACAGTGCCTCGCATCAGAGGGCTGCAGCTCTTATACCTACAGGATGAAAGATGTTGAAGAAGCCCTTGCAGGTAGGCAGGCTGTAATCTGGGTTGATCCGCTTCACTCCTCGCACCGTGAGGAACATCCCAATGGGAGACCCAAAAGCAAAGAAGATGGTGGGCTTGTAGAGCAGCTGAGGGTAGTTGGCAGAGACCTACAGAGAGAGAGGGGAGGGTTGGGTTTGTTTCATGAGACACGTTCTGTGCTGGTGTGGTGCTGTGATCCCACTGCTCCCAGCTCAGCTGTTACCTGGCCCAGGCTGATGTCTGGGTATGGGCCATCCCTGCTGGCAGTGGTGCTGTGCAGCCTGGCAGTGCTGTGTTCTTTGGTGTCCTGCAGAACACAGAGGAGCCCCAGTGAGGGCAGGTCCTGCAGAATGGTGGAACTGGGCTGCATGGGGTCCCTGCACGAGTCTGAGCTGAGTGGTGTGGCTGGGATGAAGGAGTCTGAGCCATGCAGAAGCCATACCTGCATCTCCCTCCTGGAGCTGATATAATGGAGGAGCTTCATTCGTGGTCCTAAGGGAATTCCCATTTCTTCAAGGTTTTTCTCTCCACACAAGAACTAGAAAGTAAGCAATGCAGATAGTAGCACACACCGCTCTGCTCCTATGCAGTCAGACCTTTGTTCTTTGTCCTCCTGCTGTGCTAAGAGACATTTTGTGTGCAGGTGACTCAGTAATGGGAAGACGCACCCAAGGAGGGAAGAAAAACAAAGAAATGTAAAGACAGCAAAACAGCAGAGCTGCTCACCAGTGCTTCCCCATCTATTTTCTCCTTCTCAAAAGCAGGACAGTACTCAGACAGATCCAACTTCTTCAGGATTTCTTTTACTTCCTCAGCCCCCCTGCTGCTTGAAGTCACCTCGGATCCCTGCAAACAAAGCCCACAGGGATTGTGCTTTTTTCTCTTTGTGCATTTCAGAATTTCTCTACCTTCCCATGCAGGTGCATGGGAACAGCTGTGCTCAGCTGCAGAGCTCATACCTCCCTGCTGTGCTCATCCTCAGGAGCAGCCTTCTGGTTTGTCAGGAGATCAAACAAAATGAGGGACCCTAAGAACCAGGACAGAGCATCATTGGCTCATTAGGGAAAAACCTGAGGTGCTTCCCTTCTGGACTGGAAGGACCAGGACAGTCCTTGATCAACACAATGGGGACATCCATGGGACTTACCCAAGCTGTGACCTGCAATGGAAACTCCCCCTTTAAAGTCTGGGTTCCTCTGCAGGAAGAGAAGGTAGAGGCGATTCATTTCTGAGGCCACCGTGTCCAGGATGGTCTGGCAATAGGTGGAGCTGTTGTAGAAGAAAGCATCCAGGATGGTGTCGTTGATGAAGTGACGCAGGCGGCTGATGCTCGGCAAAGTGATTCGCTCCAGGTCCCTGCGGGGGCAAAAAAGAGGAGAAAAAACTGCAGTCAGAGATGCCCGTGAGCCCTACCACATCTCTAAGGCAAAACTTAAATTCAGAGGAGGCCCGCTGCCATCCTGACATTGCAATTCTTCATTGGAGACCAAAGCCAAGCACCCAAGAGCCCCCATATAGGAGCGTAAAAGCTCCTCCATCCCAATGGCAGCAAAGAGAAGACAGCAGCCTCCCAGGGCTGTGGGCACTTACACGTCCACTCCAGTGGAGTGCAGGGAGCTGTGCCAATTAACAGGCAGGAATTCCACCCGGCCAATCTGCTGCTGCTCCTGTGCCTTCCTAAAATGTGCTTGCAGCATGCTTAGGGAAACGCTCCTGAAGTCGTTGACTGGAAAAAGGCATGAACTCTTAGCAAAGCAGCAGGGCTGCAGGGCAAGGCTTCTGCATCAACAACACGCTTAATAAGATAAAAGAAAAGATCATTACCGGGGGAAATCCCAGCAGGGTCTTTAATCTGCTGCTGCTGCCACCCTAAGACCTTGAATCTTTAACTACAAGCTCAAGGGAAGCTCCATGTCCTTACATGTGTGTTTACTGGATTTTGCTGCCCCATCTGTGACAAGCCTCCTGCCCCACGTGCAATGCTTTAACACAGCACACAGGGCAAGAAAAGCACTCTTAGGAACGTAAAGGAAGAAAAACAAATGTTGTGAAGATGCCTATTTTACAAGGGGGAGCCTGAGGGAGGAGAGATCACTCCATTTTGTGAAGGGACAAAGATCGATTTCTCCGATTTTAATTGGGCAGCCTTGGAAACAGTTGTGCTGGATGAACGTATGGAAGAACAGACTGCATTCAAGCAGACGTAATCAGTTCCTGTGTCATTAGCTTAGCAGGTTTAGACAGCTGGAAAATCCACATCCAGTTTGGGAAACCCCATTTTTGAGCAGCAGCAGAATGCAATGATAAAAAAAAAAAAACAAAACAGTTGCCCAAACCTTTCCAGACAGTGGGATTTAATGGGTTAGTGAGCATTTATTCACACTCCCCACTGCAGTCAGCAAATTGGGCCATGCAGCCTGACCAGCTGAGCGTCAGGATGGTTTGAATGCGCTCTGACAGCGTTTCTCATTGTCCACACTTTACCCTCAGCTAAAAACAACGTGTGGATGGGAGGAGCAGCCCTGCCTGGCTCCCACCTACCGCACTGCACGATGCTCCTGAAGCGGATGTCACACGCCGGGCCGATGCCATGCACCACAAAAACCAGGTGGTCGATCTGCAGAGGTTCTCCTGCAGGTAGAAAGAGGTCGGAACTCAGAGCCAGACACCACAGCTTGAAAAGGAACTGACCCAGTGACCCCACCTGCAGCTCTGACAGGCACCAGGTGGGGCAACATTCTGTTCTCTACTTCCCACACGCTTCAGTTTGCATAAGTACTTTCCCAAGTGGAAAATGAAGGGGTTAGACAGGAAGACGTGCCTGTCCTCACTGCCAGGATAGCTCACAGGGCTGGGTCACAGCTGCAGAGCAGGGAAAGGCTGAGCAACAGGCAGACACCAGCCTGGAGCTGAGAGCTGTGCTCCCTTTGTGCTGTAAGGGAGGCTCAAAGTTTACCCATGCTCACCGTTGGGGATTTCAGCAGCAATGTTCTCTACTCCTCTCTTCACAGTCCGAGGTCGTCCTTGTTCTGTAGGAGTTGAGCCCCAGTCATCCGAGGTGGCAACAGGGTGGTAGTGCACCATCAGCTGTAAGCAAGGAGGGCTGATCAATGTGCTGCACTGTGTGCTGGAGCCAAGATGATCACCAGGCTCCCAGGAAGGCCAGCAAGAGGCATTCGTGGCCAAAGGCTTTCCCTGCCCGACCACCAGGCTCTGCTCACCTTGGGGTTGTGCAAAATGATGACTTCCCTGCTTGGGGATTCCAACTTCTTCTTCCATTCATCCAGGGTTACAGCAATCATGTACGCTTCCTGAGGAAAAGAACGTCCTCTCTGAGTCAGCTGAGAGTATTCTTATGAATATTCAACCACTTGAGATATTTCCCACCCATTTTAAGTGCTGCTTTGTGAGAGAGGCATAGAAATCATCCAGGCCAAACTGGTGAGGCTACAGGATTATCTCCATATCGTCTGCTAAAGTTGCCAAAAAGCCACTGTTGTGGAATAGAAGCAGAAAGCTTTCCCACCAGAGTCATATATTTTCATACATCAAAATACAGATGACTAATTAGAGCAGAGAAAGCCCCCAGCTTTTGCAGCAGGGACCAGCAAGCATTCTGTGGGTCCCTGCTGCAATAAGAACTTGTTTCTTGCATCTGCAAAGCTGTGAGCAGAGTGAGGGTGACTGTCCTGTGACAACAGGAACCAAACTGCAGTAGTACCAGGCAGGGTCAGGGGGAAACACAGAACAAAGACAGCAGGGAGAGGCTGCAGGATGGGCCAGAGCTGCACGGCTGGCAAAGAACAACCAGGCATTGAGCAGAACGCTCTGGGATGGGGCAGAAGGGGAAGCAGAGGAGTATTTAGTTATGTTAATCAGCCGTGAAAATGCCGTGCCAAAGCCTCTTGTGAGTTCATGTCCTCAGGTGCAACAGCAGTGCCAGTGGCCCCATATGGAGTTTGGGATGTTGGGGCAGCGTTTGGCAATGAGAAGCAGAGGGGCTGTTGTTGGTGTGCTGTGTGCTCCCAGGGTGTGTTTACCTCCAATTCCTGGCTGAAACTCTCTGAGTAGGGGACGTATTTATTGTCCTTGTCTCCTTTGTAGAACCAGGTGCAGCGACGAACCTCAGACACCTCCTCCTCCCAAAACACTGCCAGGCGCTGCCTCTGCTTCAGGTGCACGTCGTACCTCCCGCCCGACGTCGGGACAACCACATCTCCTTTATCCTTCCCTGGGGAACAGAAGAGCAGAAGTGTGAGGGCCAAAAAGTTGAGCTGCCACGATGCTGCGTGCTGAACCAGAGAGAGGAGACTGCAGCACCTCTGCAGCTGCACACCACGAGAGAACAGCAACCATCAGTGCTGTCCATACAGCCCAGGGGGAGATGCCCAAAGCCAAACACCCCCAGGAGCAGCAGGTGAGAGGAAAGCACTGAGCTGTAAGCAGCCAACCTCCCTTCTAGCTTTGGGCACAGCCTTTCAGGGGCTTTCCCTGCCTGTGCCGAGGTGGCAACGTGTGAAATCGTGGCCCTGGGATCCTGTAGGACTGCAGATCTCCGTGTTCAAAGTGTTCCCCTCCAGAACTGAGAGCTCTGCTCAGATCCTAGCACAGCCCCCACTGCATGCCCTGCCCATGCTATCAATGTGAAGCAGCAGTGTCTCCTCGGACAGATCTCCCCGCTGCCATTTCTGCCCTCCTGCTCATGCTTTTGTCCCCCCCTTCAAAGGTGCTTTGCAACACAATGATGTATAATTTACAGCACGTGCCAAATTAACGAGGCCAGACCTTACATTCCCTCCTCCATCCTCGCTGTCCGTTCACTTACAGCTCCAGCATTGGATGCACTGCCACCAAACACAAGTCTCTATTACAAATTCCAAAGGGGGAATGTTGCAACCCAGGCAGGAGCTGTGGGCTTTCCCTGTGCATCACCACCCTCCTTCCCTCGGGCACGCACCTGATGCTTCCCATTGACCTCACCGGGCCGGTTCCCCATCACACATGCAAGAGATGAAGTGTTTACAGCAGAAGGCTATTAAAGCACAGCCCTGACGGCTGAAGGCAACGGCTGCAGCACCATCCCCGTGTCCGATGGCATTGGCTGCATGCAGGCTGTGCTGGAGGCAGCCGGGGCTGCGCACGGCTCCCTTACCTGCACCGTGAGCCTCTTCCAGCCGCTCCGAGTCCTGAATGCTGAACGGAAGCCACCGTTCCCTCCCGCCGGTCACCTTGCAGTAAAACCAATGCGGAGCGACCGCTTCGTATCCATTCCCCGCGTCCAAATCCGCAGCATCGGCAGCGGTCCGCGAGGGCACCGTCGGATTTTGCTCCTGAGCAGACATGACGCTCCTGGACAAAAGGAAAAGACAGACGGATGGACGGAGCCGCGGATCTCTACACCCACCCGCACACGCTCCGCAACGGGAGGCCTCACTCCGCTTCCCCACCGCGTCCGCGCTTCCCTCCTCTCCCACGGACGGACACACCGACGTCGGCCGTTCGCGCACGTCGGGTGCGTCCGTCGCTCCCGCACCGCGCGGCTCCCCGGCCCGACCGGCGGCACGGCGCTGCTTCCCGGCCCCGCTCCCAGCCCGGCTCCTCGCTTCGCTCCGTTCTCCGCCCGCTCGGGGCGGCGCTTCCCCTCCCCGCCCCCGGCGCTGCCTCCGTTCCGCGTTGCGCCTGCTCGTGGGGCCGGGCGGGGATCGGGGCGGTGCGCCCCGCACACGCGTGGATACCGCGGCCGTTTCACCCCGCGGGGGCCGCGATGACTCCGCGCCCGATTGCGGGGCCGGCGTTAATTAAAGACCAGCGTTAATTAATTACAGCCCTGAGCCGGATGCGCGGTTCGGGGCGGCGGTCCCTGCGGGGTTCTCCCGTGGCCGGGGACGCCGCGGTGTCCGTCGTGCTTTTTGAGCAGCTTATCATCATCCCCTTCCCCACCTTCAGCCAACCCTTCCCGCAGCGGGGGCTCAGCGCCGGAAGAGGAACCATTGCAAAGGAATTCGTTACCTGGATGAGTTTGACATCAAAACGCCCCCCAAAAGAGCTCCCCCCTCTCCCACCTTCCACCCCAATGCCGTGCGCGCACGCACGGCTTTTCCTACAAACGCCTATCAGGTATCAGATACCCTTCCTACCACATCGCTGCAGAAGGAAACCTTTGCCCCGACCCACGGAGCGCTGCCGACGCGGCGGTTTGTGTGCAGCTCCTCTGCTCTGCCTGCCTGCATTGCGGTGTCACCGCTCCGAAATAACCAGGGCTGCTCCACGTGTCTCCCTGCACGGGTAGAACCCACCGATCTCTTTATCTGACAGCGAGTGTTGGAGCAAAGAGGGGATGCAGGAGAGGATGTGGGTTTGTTCCCTGTGCGATCCTGGCTGCTGAAATTGAAACAAATGTAAGAAAATAGTTTCACCCAGCTCCTCAAATTCTAAAGACCAAATCTGGCTTCTGACTTTACAGCCCTGGAAGCAGGGGCTGCCCATAGAAGCAGCAGCACTGTCAGCCCCGTTTGGCATTTGGATCTGCCCGGGTGATGCTCACACAACAGACAACAGGGGATGCTGCAGGGCCGACTGCAGCCATCTCACATCTGCTCCCCTTGGCTGCAGTGTGACTCACACGTACCAGTTTTTGCAAGAACAAATTCCAATCCTCGTTGAGATCCTACCCAAAAGGAATGAGAAGCTTTGTGCCAACGGCTGTGCCAATCCAATAGAAAACAAATGCGGTAATGGAGGAAGAAATTGGCTTTGGTAATTCCTTGGTAATTCCAGCTCCTTCCCACCCCTAGGGATGCCTCAGTGTGCCGACTGCTGCATGTGATTCAGACACGTCCAAAGAGCTGCAGAGGTCAATCCGTGCTTGCGCTCCATCGCTGCCCTGAGGGTGGCAGCCAAGAGTAAATCCCTTCCAAAAGGCAGCCAGCACTCCTGGAGTGGGGCTGCAGCACTCAGAGTCTGCACTGTCCCCCAGCAGCTCCATGTGCTCGTGTGCCACACTCACCCCTAAGCTCCACCTGCTGCTGCAGCCTGGCTGGGCTCTGCCTGCAGGGCAGCTCTAAGCTGAGCAATCTGCACACAACTTCCCCTTAAAAGAAAAAAAAAAAAAAGACTTTGAGAGACTTAATTACAAAATAACATTTAAAAGTCATCGGGGTTTATTGTCTCATTACACACAGCAATGATTCGCTTAACATGTTGTAACCAGAAGGTTAACAGCAGGTGTTAACAATTAAAAAGTGGATTTAACCCACGCGACCTGAAAAGCATTTCTGCACCTCCCATTGTCCAGGGCTGCGCTGCTGCACGGCTCTGTCTGCACCTCTCTTTTCCAGGTGAAGAATTCAGAGTTCCACTCTGCTTTCCCACATCCACATGGCATCAAGGAACAGCTTCACAACAGCTGCTGTTTGCAGCACATCAGCAGAGCTACAGGAATGCACTGGAAACAAAAAGAACCCTGGGATGACACACACCAGCTTTTGTGGCAAGGGATCTGAAGCTGAAAGCACACGCAGTGATGGACAACCAAGGGCCTTCATTTTATGGCTCCACGGTGACGAATGTGACAGGTGCTGCAGTACCATGGATTGGGCCTGGTTTGGGGAACTTTGTGCAGTGATTTTCTTCTTGCTGAGTGAAGGATGCAGACCCCCCACAGGATCCCGCAGCGCTGAGCATCTCAGGTGGTGCTGCTTCTTCACATCCCAGAGCAAACAACTCGCTTTGCTGCTTTCATCTTCTCTTAATTGGTCCACTGCCAAGCTGTTGGTTGGGGCTGGGCTTTCCTGTGGGTTTTTTTTTTGTTTTTTTTTTTTTCTTTTAAATCAGGACTTATTGCTTTCTCATTGTCAATAGTGCTTAGCAGAAAGATCTGAGATGTGGAAAAACTCTTTGGAACCTCCACAACGGGCTGTGTTGTGGCTGATATGCTTTCACAATCCCTTCCTTTCCAGCTTTTCCAGTATAGCCTGAATTTTGTGGACAGCTTCCTTCCTGGCCTGCCGGATGCCATCCTGCCCACCAGTCTCAATGGAATCCAGTTCTAACAGCAGCTTGGTCAGCATCTCCTCCAGAAGCCGGTAGGATTTATCTGTCTTTTTTCCTACAAATTCATCCACCTCTTGTTCTAACTGTTCAGCCTGCTCTGTGACATGTAGGATTCTCTGAATCTCTGGCTGGATGGCTGTAGGATTCATTGAAATGTGGTTGCCAGCTTTGCAGCCTGCCTCCTGGTTCCCAGCCAACTGCCTCCGTGTTGTGCTGTTGTACATTTGAGGCTGTGCACTGTACTGCACCTTGGGGTTGGATGGGGATGACTTGGCATTGAGCAGAGCGGGTGGTTTGTGGTCATTCATTGTCCCAGAGTGCTGGTGATTGCTGTCAGAATAGTAGCTGTGTTGGTTTGCACTTTGCTCAGGTTTGTCATAAGCAGATTCCTACAATCAGAGGGGAAAAAAAAATAAAAATCTACATTACAGAGGCATTAGATGAGATCTGCCCACTTCAAGACCCACCCCTCAGGGTCTGTTATCTCCAGTGCTTTCTGGAATTATAGATAGATATATAAGTAGGAGATTTTGCTGGTAGTACTTAGAACTGCTGCTTTCTTTCTGCCTCCTGGGAGCCAACTCTGCTTGTAGAAAGGAGCATTGAGGAGCTGCATGCATGTTTTGGGGCAGGCAGCACGATCTGAGTTTCTGCAGCCAGAACCTGTGTGTCAGAGCCATCAGAGCATCACTGTACCTTTGAGTCCCACACAGGAGGATGAGATGCAGCCCCACTGCCAGTCCAGGGCGGGTGTGATTCAGAGAGGAATGGGTTCCCATGTGCTGGAGCTGTGGGCCATGCATACTGTGGCTGCACCCCATAGGTGGGGGGAGCCCAAGCCTCTTCCTGTGCTCTGGGCTGTGGGTTGGCCCCAGGGCTGTGGTCTCCATATGGATACTGTGGAACAGGCATCCCTGGGGTCTGCGGGGAGAGGAGGGACAGGCATTAATCCCAAGTCACTCCCAGCACCACTATTCTGTGCCAGACAGCTCTGGGAAAAGCCCCAACACTGGGACTGCTGTCTGCTTTCTGCTCTACAGCCCATCACCTCAGAGCTCCCTGCAGAAAGGGGCAACTCCAAGTTTTTACTTGCAAGCAGAGTGACCTGGTTGGGATGTAGAAACCATTTGGACCCGACAGAGGGATCCTGCACTGCAGGTTCTTCCCCTGTAGGGCAGCACAGGAGCTCTGGCTTTGCCGTGCACACCCCAAATGCAGCACAGTCGTGTCTCATGGTGTCTCACCTGCGGTGGGGAATACCCAGCAGGCTGCTGCCTGCGCAGTGAGCAGCCCTCTGCTGGGCAGTCCTGTGTTCCACACCCCCAGGGAGGGGCAGGAGGGGGAGGTCGGTAGGGGGCAGTGCTGTCAGTGCTGTAGGATGGCCCCGAGCAGCTGTAGGTTCGTGTCTGTGGCAATGCTGTGTAATGCGGAGCGGCCGGAGGATACGGTGCGTTGTAGGATCCGTTGGTGTAGGGAGAATCCATGCCCTGAGAAGGAGAAAAAGGAGAAAAACAGTGGGAAAATGTGTTGAGATGCACGTTTGGAGGTTTAGTTGGGTTCTTTCAGTCCCTGACTGTGGCTGAATGGGGGAGGGGGGGTGGGACACCCCAGGAACCCAGGAAAGTTTATTTCCTTTTCCAATCTACAAACGACGCGAGGAGGTGAGATTTTCCAATCCCCAAACCCGAGCTGCGGGGATTCAATTCGCCGAACCGCAGCCGCCGCGTGAAATCGGGGCTTTAAAACGTTTGTATGAAGAGGGATCGCGTCGCAAGCGGGGTTTTATGGCACCGCAGCCTTCAGTGCGCGTCTGACGGCATGGAAACAACGCACGGCTCGCTTCGGAACGGAGCAAAACGGGAAGGAGGTGGAGTTGGACCCGCAACCCCCCGCCCCGCATACCGACCTGCCGCCCCTGCGCGTCCGCTCCGCCGGGAAAACGCCCGAGGCCGAACGCTCGGGGCTGCGCGGGGTTCCAATAGCCGGGACCCGGCGGCTCCTGTAGGGAAAACGCCGTTACGCGGTGCGCTCGATCCCCGAGCAGCGGTGATAACGGGCCGCGCTCAGCTCCACCCGTCCTTACCTGCCCGCCCGCCGGGCCCCAGGGCGCGGTACGGCCGCGGGGCTCCATGTCTGCCGCCCGGCACGGCCGAGGCAGCCCCGCAGCGCGACGAGTGGATGGAAGGCCCCCAAGAAGCGACCAATAGGATGCGAGGACCCCGCGGTCCAGCCAATGGGCGGCCGCCTTGCGCGCACGACCGGCGCTGTTTTTAAAGGGGCAGAGCGCTTTTCAGCACCGCCTTTATCCGCCCGGTGCGGGGCGGTTCCGGGGCGGTTCCGCGGTGCGCGGCGGCGCTTCCGCCACCATGAACTACATGCCGGGTACGGCCAGCCTCATCCAGGACATCGACAGTGAGTGCGACCGCCGTTCCGTTGGTACTGCAGGGAACGAAGGGTAAAACCGCGCCCCGGACGCGGTTTTACCCTTCGTTCCCTGGGTTGATCCCTTCCCCGTTTCCCGCAGAGAAACACCTGGTCCTGCTGCGGGACGGTCGGACGCTGATCGGATTCCTACGCAGCATCGATCAGTTCGGTACGTGGGGGGGGGGCAGCACCGGGAACGGCACGGGAGCGGAGCTCTGATTGAACCCACGTGGCCGTGCATAGCGATAGGAGCGCAATTTACGATCCCCTCCCATCCTATGTTATGGTCTCACCTCGGGGCGGCACCGTCTGAGCACATCCTCCCCCCTCAGTGCATGGGGATGGCACTCGTTCCTATGGCTGAGCCCCTCAATCCTTGCCCCACACCCCACAGCACCGGGGATGCCTTCATCAGCCCTCGGTTGTGGCTGTTTTGGGGTCCCACAGGGGCTGGAAAGGCTGCAGGGTTTGGGGATTGCAGGCTTTGGGGGATGCTCAGCACATGGGATGCAGTCCAGGAGCTGCTCCCCAACGCTTTGGGTCACGGTTTGATTTGTGTGAGGTGCTTTGTTTGGTGGAAAAAAGCAGTTAAAAATAGGATGTTTGTTCTTTTTTTTTTTTATTGCCACAGCAAATCTGGTGCTGCATCAAACCGTGGAGCGCATTCACGTGGGCAAGAAGTATGGAGACATCCCCCGAGGGATCTTTGTTGTGAGAGGAGAGAACGTGGTGCTGCTGGGGGAGATCGTGAGTGAGCCCCACACCCTGCAGCCCCACACCCTGCAGCTCTGCTAACACAGCTCCTTGCTTGCAGGACCTGGAAAAAGAGAGCGACACGCTGCTGCAGCAGGTATCCATCGAGGAGATCCTGGAGGAGCAGCGAGTGGAGCTGCAGGCCAAGCAGGAATCAGAGAAGCTGAAGGTGCAGGCGCTGAAGGAACGTGGCCTGGTGGTACCCAGGGCTGACACGTTGGATGAGTACTGATGGGATGGGAATGCTGCCCACGGAACTCAGCACTGTGCTGCGTGGTGCAGGCAGTGAAATCGTGGTTTCTGTTCCTCCTTGAGGAAAAGGAGGAGAGATGACATCGGGGTGCCCTCGGAGGTAACCGGACGCTCCGGGGATCGTGGCAGTTTCTGTTCAGAGATGAACACCTCTGTTCTTTTTGGTTTGTGTCTTCTGGCTCCTCGCGTGGAGCTGAATGAGAGCTTCCCTTCACCTGTAAATAAATCCCTGATCTCAGCAGCAACAGCTTTGCCTGTGTTTGGGGTGTTGCTCTGCATGGTGCCAGGCACAGCGGGACTCTCCAGGACACAGTGAGGTCCTGTGGGACAGCTCAGGTGCTGTGCCTCCTCCCCTGTTCAGCCCTGTTCATCCAGGTGCAGCTGTTTGCCCACAGCTGTGCCCCCTAATTGGCTAATTACCTGCCCAGTTGCTCACAAACAGCAGAGCTGCCTCACATGGCTGTCCCTGCTGCCCAGCAGCACCCCTCACCCTCCTGCAGCACCTCCAAACTTGAGGGAGGACCACATGTGTGGCTCAGGCAGGTAGGAGCTGAAGTGGGTGCTGCAGATTTCAGCACTTGGAGGCAAGGCAGGAAAAAGGAGAGCCTGAGGTCTTTTGTTGCCACCTGTTCTCTGATGTTGTCAGTTGGTGTCTGTTTCTGCATCTGCCTTTCAGCCTGGGCAGTGCCCATGTTATCTTATCAGCTGCTCCCTGTGGGAGGGGGCTGTGGGTTTATCTCTGCTCTCCACATAGCATCAAAGCAGCCTTGGGAAAGTGTGGGGGCACCCCAGGTCCCTGCAAAGGGAGGGGACGTGGCTTCAGCCCCCCTGTTGGAGCCTCTCCTGGGTGCTGAGATATGGAATAGGTGTAGAAAAGGGAATTGTCCTGGTGGCTCAGGGCATTGTGTGAGCAGTGGTGAGCAATGTGTGAGGTGTGGGCAGTGCATTGAGAGGCTGAATGTCAAAAGGGATGTGAGGTCCCTGGATGAGTAAGGGGTGCACAGTGAGGTTGAGGGGGCTGGAGTGGGGCTGGGACACCTCCTTTCTTGCAGCCCCTGGGCATGGTGGTGGTGTGGGACACATGAGGAGATGCTGATGTGACACTGTGAAGTCGGTGAGCATTCAGGGGCACCTCAGTTTTTCAGCTATTCCTAAGTTTTGCTGTGTCCCTGCAATTAGGGCACCCTGGAGCTGAAGGGGTGGCTCTGTCAGGGAGCAGTTCAGTTCCTCTCAAAAACAAGTGCATGTCCTTGCTCCGAGGCCGTGTGTTCGGGGCTGCTGCTCCATTAGGATAACAGCAGTGCAGAGCTGGAAATCTCTGAGCTGGGAAGAGCTGTGCCTGTGCTGCTACATTGCCAGGGCAGCAATTTGGGAAGGAGATGCTCAGCTGCTGCCTTCCCGTGGTCCCTCCAAACCCAGTCCCATTGCAGGTGAGATGTGCTGTGCTCGGTGTGATTGGAAAGGATCCATCCAGATCCATCCATCCTGGAGGTGTGGGCAGAACAATGCAGCCATTCCCAGGCACAGGTAGGGCTGAGCACCGCAGGGCTGTGCTGCAGTTCCCCGTGTGCCCTGAGCACCACAGTGAGTGGGTGACCTCCCCCCTCACCAAATTGTTGCGACAGCAAAGAGGAGCAAGGTCAGCATCCCCGCAGCAAAGTGCAGGAGCTGACGTCAAAGGAAGCAGCTGTGATTCACAGCTTTTGGGGGAGCACTCAGTGCTGGGGCTGTAACTCATTCCACAGATGTCATTTCAGCCTTGAACGTTATCGCTGCTCTTGCTCCACCCCCAGGGAGATGTGGGGCTGCCCCTTCAATGCAGCAGAGCGTGGCTGGGACCCCCACCCCACAGCCTCCTTATGCACCTTGCAGCCCTGCTCTGCACGCACAGCCCTCAGCTGCAGCTCCATGCAAGCTGTCTACAAAATTCTCTCAGCCTCATGCACAGAGCATCCATGTGCATTCCCCACGTGCTGTGCAGCAGCAGAGGGGGAAAGCAGAGTTTGCCCCACGTATCTGGGCAGCAGCAGCTGCATAAGGATGTGCGCATGCGCTGCTGTTGACACCCACAGTGACCCACAGCCCCCAGCAGATGCATGGGGAGATGGGGCTGCCCTTGGCCTGCAGGGCACTGCCGTAAGTGATGGCTCTTATCTCGGTGCTGACAAGCCAGCATCCTTCAGCTGGTGGATTTAAGGCCGAGCCTTGGGGCTGAGGCACAGCAGTATTTGCAGCAGTCAACAGAACTGAGCTCCATCACGCTGCAGAGATGCTGCCTGCCACCTTCAAGCTGTGTGCTGCCATCTCCTACCAACACCTGCGCAACGTGACTGGTGAGAGGCCCATGCCATGCATTTTGCTGTCTGTACAACTCCTTTCTGCTCTATTTCTGGACTGGGGGATGGAGGCTGTATGATGTTTCCAGCGGGGCTGCAGCTCTGGAGTAGGCAGTCGCTCTTCAGCTGCTCTCAGGCTGTTGCATGTGCTGCTTGGAGCAAAGCCTGAGCAGCACGGATCTGCTCCCAACCTCCAGTATTGCAAGGGGAGGAAGCTTCTCTCATAGGGACTTTGGCAGTAGGGCTGGGTACAAGCAAACAAGCGAGACATTTCCAACCTGACACCACACAGCTGTGTTGTGATGTGCTCTCTGCTTGCAGGGCTGCGCAGACAAGCTGCAGTGGCCATCAGCCAGGAGCTCAGCAAGCTGTCGTGCTGCAGCGCGGGGCCCAGCACGTGGATCAGCCAGGTCCGCAGGCGAAGCTCTCTGCTCAGTAAGTGCTGCTTTCCAGGGATCTGCCCCCTCCAGGTCAATGCTTTGGAGGAAATCTGCTCGTGGTGCTGTGAGCTTTGCTAATGGAAATGTAGGGGGAGGTGGGAAATGAGCTCCCACCCAAGTCGTGGGGCAGGGAGAGGTGTATTTGATAGAGGTAGAGCTGGCTGGTATTGTGATGTGTTAGCCTTCTTATTCCTGCTTCTGCCTGCTCTCTCTCAGGCTCCAGGCTGGAGGAGAAGCCCTTCAGCGAGATGGAGATGTCCTACATCAAACAAGGAGAGGAAGCCCTGCAGAAATCGCTCAGCATCCTCGGGGACCAGGAAGGCTGGAAGACGGAGACGGTGGTGGTGAGCCCTCCTGTGGCCGTGCAGTGATGCTGTGGCCTTCCTGTGAGTATCTGCGGTGCTGATCTGCCTTTCCCTGTCAGGACAACGGAGACAAAGTGCTGAGCAAAGTGCTGCCGGATGTGGGGAAGGTGTTCCGTTTGGAGGTGGTGGTGGATCAGCCCCTGGATGCTGTGTACAGTGAGCTGGTGGACAACATGGAGCAGATGGGCGACTGGAATCCCAGCGTCAAAGAGGTGAAGGTAGGAGGCACGGGGTGCTCGTGGGGACAGCAGAATCCTGCTTGGTCTGCCATGCTGTTTGATACACATTCACACTGCTCTGTGTGCTGTTACAAGAGCCAAAGAACGGCTGCATGTTGCTCCAGGCACAGGGATTTCCTCACCCGTTCCTTTAGAGAAGTCAGACATGCAGACAATCACACGCTGGGGATCAAAGCCTGCAGTCAGCCAGCTGATTTTTTTGCAGTAAATCCTTCATGTCGTTGTTTGAACTGCTCAGATCCTCCAGAAGGTTGGGAAGGACACCCTGATAACCCACGAGACAGCAGCTGCTGTACCTGGGAACATCGTTGGGCCGCGGGACTTTGTGAGTGTGAGGTGCTCCCGGCGCCGAGGCTCCACCTGTGTGCTGGCAGGGATGTCCACCAAGCATGGAGCCATGCCCGAGCAGCAGGGATTTATCAGGTAATTAATTACCACCTGGGGTGCTTAATGAACTCCAAATTCACATGCTGGCTTGCAGTGCGGGCTCAGAGTTGTAATGATGTTTCAGAGCGGTCAGTTTGTGTTTCGGGAAGGGAGAAGTTGTGAAGGAGCTCAAAGTGCTCCAGCAGTGTTGGAGGGTGGGTCAGCTTTTGCTGTCTAACACGTGCAGTCCTGTCCTCATAACAGAGCTGAGAATGGCCCCACATGCATGGTGCTGCGCCCGCTGGCTGGCAGTCCCTCGCAGACCAAGTTAACGTGGCTTCTTAGCATTGACCTGAAGGTAAATCTTGCACTGAACTACTTCAAAAGAAAGGCAGGAGTTGTGCCAGATGCACTGATGGGCTGCTTGTTCCTCTGCAGGGCTGGCTGCCAAAGACCATCATCAACCAGGTCCTGTCCCAGACCCAGGTGGATTTTGCCAAACACCTCCGGCAGCGCATGGCGCAGGCAGCAGGCTGCTGAGTGCACAGACTGCTACTGAGTGCTTTGTTCAGGGCTAACAGTAGGGAATCTTGTCCTTAGGTAAGTCAGATACAACTCAATTCTGGCCTGTGCTAACAAGACAGGCCTTTAATAGTAGGCAGTACTAATAAAGCTGAACTAATTAGCCAGGAGCCTGAGTCAGAAGCAGTGCCAGCAGCTTGTAGGTGTGCAAGCAAATGCCATACCTGAAGGGGCACGTTGCTGGGACCTCCCTGCTAATTACTTGAAGCTTTATTAGTCTACAGTAAAAAGGCCTTGGCTAATTAGTTATTAGGGAAAAGTCCCAGGAGCCTCATTCAGAAGGCAGGGCCAGCCACTGCTGCTCCGTGTGCAGAACACAGGACTTAACCTCAAATGCATTCCCATCCTTTCCCCTAGTGAAGCAGCTCTAAGTTATTTGATATAATTTTGCATGTCTGTACAGGAAGATTATTTATTCAAAGCTCTGCAATGGTTATCATTAGCAGGAGTCCCTGGGAAACTTGTCATTGCTTTTATAGACACAGATAGCTTCAGATTTAAAGTAGGTACTTAAGTTTGCAGGTTATGAAGGAGAACTACTTCAAACAAAACAAAAAATCACAAGACAAAAACAATGTAAGAGTTTAAAAGAAGAGTTTATGTTTAAACTGGCTGCCAGTTTATGTTAAAAAAAAAAACCAAAAAAAAATACAGTTTGGACAGAAGCCCAAATTTCAGTCTTACATGCAGTAGTCTTGTTACAACATAATCCTTCTGGATGGAAACAGTTCACATTTAGCCAAGCACAGCTAAGCAGAAGTGTCAGAGTTGCTTCTGCAGGTAGAGATACAGCAGGTGGGTCCAACCCCACACCTGGTCCCACTGAACAATGACTGTTATGAGCCCCAAATGTCAGATGGGAAGTTATCTCAACACAATCGTTGCTTCTTCAGCTAGCTACACTGTAAGTTACTGAAGAC